AAGATCGTTATTAGTTGTTACACGTGTTCCTAATTTAATTATTTGAAAGAATAGCGGTAAGTTCCTTATGTGTCAATAGCAAACTTCTAAATTTTTAATATTCATGCCTGTCTTAAACCAGCTTCATGACAAAGAAAACGTTAAACAAGTCTATAAATTACTATAGTCTCCGAAATTTAGTATCCCTTAACTAACTCACAAGAATTTAGATGCCTTTGTTTCTACTTTAAAACAACTATATAACTCTTCTTTTATTCAACTATCTGCCGAGCTTAAATACCTTTCGGCAGCAGCTATCATATATGAGTTATAATAGTTCATGAAATCTAGCTCATATCTGATAGCTAAATTAATACGGACATTATTCATAATTTTGGACATATACTGAACGATTCTAGATAATTAGACTTCAGTATGTTCGCACACAGAATTATTTATAGTATCATCTATAATTGAATATCTTCAGGATATTCATCACTAGCTTTACAAGACATAACACTAACATCAATTAATATTAATTACCTTATAAGAACTCTTACTACAATAAAGCATAATTTACTGAAACAAAATAATAACTATCGTAGTTCTTACTGTAAGTCATTATTACTTATCTTGATGATAGTTGGCGATCTATATCTCAAACTATGTTACGTTAAATTCCTTGAGTAACAACTTATTGCAATTTTGTGTCGATTTTGTTTGGTATACGTTACACCAATTAATTACTGCGATATTCTATAATGAGTAGTGCGTCGTATATGCCATATACATCATATTCGTAATTCACTCTCATCAGTTAAATAATCTTATCTGCCTTTTATATCATCTAAACAAGGTTTCCATTAAATTGCCTAATATGTTCGTATACGTATTTATATGTCTTTCAACTAAGATAAATTCAGAAATACCAAAAAGTAGCTATACAATAGCTAATTAATCTAATTTGTTCACAATGCAATTAAAGGCAAAACTTGTAATCCTTGACGTTACTCACTTTATTTTAGAACCAAATGCATTTCTCGTTTGTTGTCTTATCAGATTTGTACAGCAAGATTATGCTACTGCTAAATCTTAGCAGAAATCTAAGGAATATAACGGCTAGAAATAAAGATGAAAATAATAAAAATGGAGATGCAATCAAACGAACACTAGACTTCATTTAAACTATTGTAAGCAGCTATAAGACCATCTTCGTGTCAATTTGTATTTTAGTATATGCGTAGTATGGAGTCTGTGCAATAGTATTGTCTTAAATAACCATCTTGAATGAATGTATGTCAATATTATCGCACTTAGTACTAGTCGATATGACGTATAATTATCATAAATGATTGCAAAAAGTAACATCATGAAAGTCAATCTAGCTGCATTGGTTGGAAAAGAGTATAACTTACGATTAATGCCATATCTTACTTGATAAGCTCTGATATAACGAGTTATATAGATAGTAAACAAGTTCCACTTATTAGGCTGTACGAAATTACATTAATTGCGCGAAATCATATTAATTGTCATTATAGCGTTTCCTATGCCAGCATTTAAAATTTCTATACTGATACAAGTAAAGGTAAAATGTGCCAGCTTAGCAACAGTTATTGGTCTTTAAGTCACAATTAGTATCGTAATACGAAAAATCAGTATTATGATAACTAAAAGCAACTCCGTGCTTTGCGAATATTTTCTTGAAGAAATGCAATTTCTTCTTGCCTCTGCAATATCAATAAAGTTACTGAACTAGTTTATCTTACTTTAACGCAAAATCAAATTTATGATTAATCGTTTTCATGATACTGTATTATTTCGTTATATTGATTTCAGAACTTTATATTCACTTCTTGACAATCGCTAAATATTGTATTAGTAAAATATTTAAATATTTAACATAATAAGTTGCTTCCTGATCAATTACAATTTAAGGCGGAAACTACTAAAAAGTATAAGTATCTATTTCGCGTACGTATTGTTTAAATTAATTACCGAAAATATTTTGATATGGCATTAAAATGAACGAGTACGTTGACGTATTAACAATGAAAAACCATTGAATAGCGCACTTTTCTTTTAATTTCGGTAACGCGTGATTTTATTTTTTTGCGAGTCAAGCGAATGGATCCAAAGTCTTTTATCAGTGCAAGATATAACTTAGATTCTATAAGAAATATAAAATAATAATAATTATAATATACTGTAATTTTCTACGTACCATTTAGTACAATAGTCTAATTGCATATCCTTTTATGCAATGCATTTATCGTCATTGCACCGGATTTTAGATTAATTACTTTAATTATATTAAAAATGGGTTGGACTTTCATAATATATGAGCAATTATATATGTAGCGTCGTTCATATTATGATAAAGGTTGGCTATTTTGAATAAATTACCTGATATCAATATATCTGCTGTACGTTACCGATGGATAATTTTATTGGCATAAAGTTGATACGAATTAACAAAATTTAATTTCGTAAGGTATTAATGTAAATTATTGTAACAAGTTAATATCTTAGGATATCGGTGTAATTACTTTTTTAAAAACGTTTAAATTTTTTCTATATTTAATTAATAAAAATCTATTGGGGTTTTATATACTAGAAAAATGCTAATAAAACTTAGAATTTAGATCAATAAACTTATTTTAATGCTGTTACATTGAATGAGTAATATTCCTATAAAAAGTTATAATTATCGTAATTTAATTATTAACATTTTTTCATTTTGACAGTAAACATTCTTAGGTTTTAATTCCAATTTGATCATTTTAAATAGTTAAAATTAAAGTTATACTAGATCAGGCTTTCATTGGGTTTATCACCGGTTTTACTGAGATTGTCTGGTAAGAGTTGCTTTTTTCTGGAGCGAAAGAAACTTTAGTTGTAGTTACTGCGTTATTTTTGCGTCGATAATAGCATGGAAAAAATAGTGATCGGATTTCACGATTGAATATACAATAAATTATTGGATTGTAGACGGTTGATATCGATAAAGTTATCCTACTAAATGTAACGATCATTTTCATTGCTGGATTGGTTTTATTATCATGTAGCAGTAACTCAGGTGCAAACTTGCCTGTAGTAGCTTCGAAAAGTAATGTTAAGGTCCAAGGCAGAGCGCATAATAAAAATGTAATAGTTGTTACTAGCAACATATAAACGGTTTTACGCTTAAGATTTCTACTATTAGTGGATTCCTGTCCAATCGCAGTCGTTTTCGTGGTAAGCTGATGCAATATCAAAGTATAAGCAGTAATCATTACTATGGTTGGAATAACAAATTGAAATATAATCAAGATGAAGTTGACAATAATGACCCAGTGAGAATAAATTGGAAAAGGAAGGCATTGGTTTTCAATAGACCTAGCAGTGAATAGGAATGGAAGTGAAATAAATAATGAAATAATCCAGGCTAAAGCGCATAACATTTTACATTTTTTAGGGGTTATTTTTTTAGTAGGCCGAAAGATAGCTCTATAGCGCTCGAGACTAATTATAACTAACGTTTGCACAGAGGCTGTATAAGACCAATAGGCAGGGAAGACGATACAGACTTTACATAGGATTGTGTGAATATGCGATGGTATTGGAGCTCTGCTTGTATTAATTGCAGTAATTACGGTAGATATAATTGACAGAGAAAAAAGTAGATCACAGCCAGCAAGATTAGCCATAAAATAATATGTTTTTTTACGTAATGATTTCTTAAAATGGGTGCCAATAATTAAAATAATGTTCAGGATGATACCAGCGCCAATTATTACCAAAGTTATCGCTCCTAATCTAGCAAGTAATTCTGCTGATGTACTTAGACGGTTAATAGTGTTATTGGTGGATGTATTAGTAACATTTAGACTATTCATCCTCCTAAATAAAAATCAGGGAAATGATGGTACGAAGGTGAAGTTGCCGAAAGCTTTATTCGAGTAATGAACATAAAATCAGAGAAAAGAGTCTTTATAAGGTATTAAGGCCTATGTTGTTTTCAATACTTTTATTGATTTTCATTTTGCACTGTAGCTGTCAATGTCGATGATAATAATTGTTAAGAAGCACTTTCTCTGACAATGACGTATAATTATTGTTACTGTCATTTAAAATTTGATTAATTTCAAGTTAATTTTCCATTTGATAATATATGCGCGTATATATAATTAAATGGATAGAGGTAATATTTAACTTGCAAAGAATGCAATGTCTTAAAACTTTACAATAAATGTAGGGCTAAGATTTGTGAAGGGCACGTTTAAGTTAGTGTATCGAGTTTACGATGATATTAAATTATTCTTCGTTGGATTCCATGGCACATAACACGTAAATGCATGCTTAAAATAGGTCAGAATTGATTATATTTGATAAGGTAATTGCTGTGAATACAGATGAAGTTGCTGTCTATGAATGATATGGAAGGTAGCTTAGTTACTGTTAATTATTGCGTGCAAGAGTTGTTCCTAATAAGGCCTTTCATTCAAATCCATCAATCTTCATTACCCTGATCCAAGCATAAATTTAATTCTTATTTAAATTGGCTATAAAAGTTCCGTCCTCATTTAATACATTAATGTAGTAGTAATTAATTAACGTGCTTTAATTGTAAATCACGAATAGTATTTAAAAGCAAGTTATGCAGTATATTGAAAAGTCTTGTTTTTGAATTATTAGATACTATCATTATTTGATATGCATAGGTTTAAGATTTTGTTGTTTATCAATTAATAGTTTATGATTTATGATGCAATTCTCTTGTTAATAATAGCTAGGCTGTAGCGAACAAGTGCCAACTCTACAAAACTGATACTTAAGGTTGATCAAAAACTATATTCTACAAATCAACTTTATGACATAATGGTCCAAATTTGGCTCTCAGTATGTTTTCTACTGCTTTTTATTAAGGCTGTCGTATATTTCTAGTTTGTTTTATACAACTGCAAATTTTCGGATAGTGTAATTGTTAAATCCTTGTATAACAATCTGCTTGCAATCAAAGTAGAAAATAGAATATACCTAATTTAGACAAGAATCAGCCAAGGAACTCAATGCAAAATTCATCTGATAATTACAAATAAGAAAAGCCTAGTTGATTCATTTTATAAAGAGTAATCCTAATTTTTTAGTGGTAGGAAGAATTATATATATAAAATAATCGATATACATTTGCAATTGTCATAGTGAATTGAATACAAAGTTACAGTCTCAATTAGGCCCACTAGCTGACCCTTGTCCTTACGTAGATGAATCAATAAATAAAAGAAATATTATAAGTTAAACTATAGGTTAAATGATATGAAGACCGATTTGAATGATGTAGATGGTAATAAAGTGTATATGCTGTAGCATCGATAACTTTAAAGAATTTTAAACTGCTTGATTTCTCTGTCATATTTATCAATATTATTCAATTGTCATAGTAATTTTATGATACAGCAACCGATATTTTGATAAACTTGGTATTACCGCCCAATTGAGATGGAAAAAATATCCACAGCAATAATGATAATGCAAATGAGGATCACTCAAATTGATTCATGATATTTATACTACAGATAGACAATATCAACAAATTAAATAATAGTAGGTTTTTGTGTACATGTTATCTCTATCTATAAAAGCTGCACGGTTATAAATTATTTTATCGGCTCTCGAGATAGGTTTAAAGTAAATGTGGTATTTAATTAAGGCATGGCTGAATGATTGAGTTCAAGAAGTGAAGACTTGTAAAACTAAAGAAAGGAATAATGATACATTCTAAATGTTGTATATTAAGTAAATCATCAGTGGGTGATTAAATGCAAGACATGAATATTTAAAAAATTAAAGTGTGGCATCATGTTAACTTAATACAGTACATGTAAACTTATTACTTGCCTTAAACCATTTTAGTTCCCTCATACCATTAAAATTAGCGCTAATCTGTGTATAAGCGTATCATTCATTTTATTAGAACGCTACTTAGACATTCAGCGCGATGCTGTAGTACTACTAGTAGAACGTCTATTATTCTGCCTTATAAGTAGACTTTCAATCTTGAGAAGATATTTCTATATCAGTACATTTATATCGTAGATTGTACAATTTTACAATGAAATAAAAAAACGCTACGGCTCATTGGCTATTCTACTTTTATGATGATACCGTAAATTGATTGACGAAATAAAATAGCTTATTTACTTTAAAGAGGATGAGAACTATATATGGCCTATCAAATCACATTAACTTTAAGTGTCGTCGATCAATGATTTGTTATGGTATCGTAGAAGATGTTTCTCCAAATGTAAAAAAACAATATGATTGAATAAATTCAACAAGAATTGTGAATCGGAGTTATTTACAATAAAACAACGGTAACTGTTCGTAAATCAGTGCAATAAGCATGGATACAGATTGCAATATTGATTTTTATTGGTTTCCATATGAAAGAAGCACTCGTCTGCTCGATGATAGCAGGAGAATCAAGTTTTGCATACGCGTACGCTATTCTATAAGAATAGAAGTAGGAATAAGCACTGTAAGCGCTTACCGTTTACTGTTTTTGTCCAGTTAGAGTAACACAGAACATTAGTGCAGACCGGAGCTATATACTGTATAGTGAGTGATGAGTTCATTGCCTAATAATACATAATCGCAGATTTTAATGCCTTTTCTCTAAAAATCAATGCAAAAAAACAATTTTAGCGATATCAATCTATTTATACTACGCTGAATAAGCTTTGCCTTCTATAACAGCAGTAAACAAAATACCGTATATAAGTGCAGTAATGTGAAATTATGCAATATATCAATGATATGAAATATTTATTGACACAATTTTGGAAGTATAATAGCTTGCTATCAACAGTATCAATAATCAGTTCAATTTCATTGTTCTGAAGTTACTATGAGTTCATTTACTGTCCATATTTGTCAGTTAAATGTTATTTTAATTATTTTTTATTATAATTATTATTAAATATTATTTTATTTTTTAGTCGCTCAGGAACTATTCATTGAAATACTATGGCGGAGACTTGTTATTCTAGCCTGAGTGTGTCATTGCATGCGTACTCTTGCGCTGCAAATTACGGACAACCACTGGGCCAAATATTGTAGATGCTTTTTCTTCTGTAGTTATTTTTCTGCTTTTCGGTCTACATAATTGCTTTATATGCGGTTCGTAATACTGCTTGAGTCAAGTAATCAATCTTGTATGATGTGTAGAACAATGTAAAGCTAATTAGGAAATTGTAATATAACGAACTAAAGCAGATTTAGTTGTTACTTAGAATAAACCTGTCAGTTCGATTCGTTTATGTCATCGTAAGGTTAGTCACGTATTAGTATATAGTACAGGTAGAATATAGGAGATTATTGTATCTAGTAGTCTACTGAAGACATTGAGCCGGCTTCATGAGCTACTGGTTTCTCTCTCTTTCTTCAGTAGTCCCTTATTGAAGTCGTAGCTGAAGAGTAGGCCATCATCCCAACCAATCAGTTTGATATGAAGGCATATTTCAATCGAATTATCATGTTTGTTATACGGGTCTTGAATATTGCTTGGCCAGATGGGCCATCAATCCCTAGCAGAACTGATATCAGGTCCTATCGAGAATCTAAAGTGCAGTCTATTACAGGCAATTGTGAATCATCGTTTGCATATTTAAGCCATTGATCATTGGATAGTCTATCGTAAAGACCCCTATAAAATGGAAGAAAGAGTCAAGATGGACGACTGTAGACTTGATCTGTCTACTGCAATTTTGGCCTGATAACATGTATCCATTCTGCATCAATTTAAAACTATGTGTAAGTAGAATCAGTCCACCCTGAAAGCACTTGGATAGAATTCATTCATTGCTCGTGGACAGCATGGAAGGTCAATTCCTAGCAGAACCAAATACGCAGGTGCAGTGGTACAGTACATACTACTGTACTTAGTACAGTAGTGTGCTGTACTGTACTGTACTGTATGTACTGTACAGTACTGTACACTCGTGATAAAGTACTGTACTGTACTGAGTGAGTACTGTACTCTCAGTCAGTGCTCCATACAATCCTACTGTACTGTACAGTACTGGACAGTACTATAGTACTGCATACCGCATACTGTATTACTGACTGTACAGTGTACAGTGTACAGTACTTTGCCATCAAATATCTGAAATACTGTGTACTGGTCTGTACTGTACTATACTGTACTGTACTGGACGGACAAAATGTGAACCGCATTCGGTCTGTCGGCGACTACCGTACAGTGTACAGTGTACAGTACCATACTGTCCAGTACTGTGTACAATGTACTGTAATGTCTTTGCTGATGGCGCAATCTTCCTTGGTCCATTCCTGTACTAGGGGAAGCAAGGTGGCGCTGCTCACAAGTGGATGCCAGAACTAGAGTCCACCAGTGGCAAATAATTGAATGTCATTGCATAGATGCAAATAGCCTCGTTTACTGATCGTTGTAGTCTCGTCTACTTTGGTTAGTCCACTGTGATTCTAGGCCTGATAAAATGCTTCAATACTGCATTCATTTCAAACTCTCCGTAAGTAGAAGGAAGTCTGTATATTGCTATTTATTCCAGGTAGGATCGTAACCAATCGACTGTACCCTTGCTGAATCTTGTTTATATACAGTATATAATACTATATATTATACACTTGGATAGTAGGAGGAAATTTCTGCAATTGTGCGAGTACTGCAATTGGCTTAATGTGAAAGATGGATAGGTGGTCTCAACTAATTGATACATTTCGTTATTCAACGGATACTCTACGCTTGCAACGCCAAGGGATCGACTTACAAGATTTATTACTAGATATACTGCAGGTACGGTCATGAAGAGGCGAAGAGAAAGCGTACCTACTTGTCATAAAATTGAATAGAGAATTTTGAAATACTCTACTGTTAATACACAATGTGACGCGTAAATACTCATATTTGCTTGCATGCTCGATTGCATGCTTATCAGGTTAGATTGGTTCTTTAACTTACCAGACTTCGATAGAGGAACGCTTAGTCCTACTTCTATTGTATTCCCTTGTAGTCAAAATAAAACGTATAATAATCATAGGTTGTAAATGAGTTGTAGTAATCCTACTTAATGTCAAACAGCATCAAGTCGATTGGCTTGGCCTTACCTACCTTATTCAATCTGAATTGTTATGCTTGGATTCAAAGGATATCTATGATTAAATGCTTGCACCTTCAATGACATGTTTGCCAGATTCGATCGGTACTTTAACTTGCCTGACTTTTATATCGGAAGGCTTAATCTTGCTTCTGGTGTTGACACCATGCAGTGAAAATACGCGCACAATCATCAATTCTAAATGAGTCGTTGTAATCTTATATAATCATACACACTCAAGTGTAGCTTGACTGACGTATCCTTATCGAATTTCAGTTGATTTGCTCGGATTCAAAGGATATCAATGGTAAAATCAAAGCTATGTCACTCTTACAGGAAAGGGTAAGAATCCATATGATGATAGCATTGGTGGAACGGTCACTGGCGTTCTACCCTTTATTTGTCATTCCTGTCTTAGGGATTGATTGTAACTTATACTGACCATTAAATAGGTTGCCATTTGCAATTGAAGCTTGACATATTTAATAAACTTATAAATACACCTGTAATATATTCTAGCCTATTCATTGTATCAGTAATAATCCGTATACTTGACCAAGTCGAAAGCTAGAGATACTATACCAGATTATGTTATGCAAATTCTAATTAACGATGGGCCGACTATTTATTTCAGGCTGACATTCTATTAGTGGATGAAACCAGGTAATGGAAAAAAGCTACGATACTCGTATACCAATTGAATATCAACTACACATACGACTCTGATTGTTTCTTTGTAATGCTTTACGTATAGTATTGTTACATAAGTATATCTGGTTATTTTTAACTAAATTTATTTATGCATCGAATAGTCAAGAACAAGCTATTGCTTCACTATTAGGAGTTCTACAGCAAATCCAAATTCCAGAAACTGTATTCCCTACTTATGTTAGTAACCTAACATAGCATGTAACGATACACAGTAATGAGGAATATGTTGCCTATTTTAGTATAAACGATCTAATATCGCATAATAATGTTATTTCTCTCTTCAGTACAATTGCATTACTAACTTTCGTTTCACCGTCTAGATTATGATTACTATCACTTCGCTAGTGATTCAATTTGATATCAAGGTAATTGATTATTATTATTGTGCACCAACAATTAAAAAAGAGTTTGTGGTATATACCAATATGCACAAAGATCGGTAGTCATTGGGTAATACTAATCAATGGAAGAGTTAGCTAGATGTACTGGTCAATATCGTTTCTTATTCTAATCCTAAAATCGATTGAAAGTAATACTTGCTATAATCAAAATTTCCTCCTAATTTTATATAGAATGTTTTTCCTGACTTGTTTGCAACCTTAATCCAAATTTTATTGAATAGAATTGATAGGGTAAGTGTAGCATTGATTATTTCATATTTGCGATTCTAGTCTCTAGTCTAAAAATTTCTTTTTATATCATTCGACAGATCAATTCTGGAACTGATCGTATTCTTAGGGGTTTGGCTTGTCAATGCTTGACAGAAATAGAGCAATTATACCCGGTGCTTAAACCGAAAACTAATCATGCATTTCTTATATCTCTTATAGCCTAGTAGAAATGAATGTTTGATAATTATTACGTCCTTGTACATCAATTTGTTAATGTGCTATTTTTAATTTTTATATCAAGGGCTTACTTGGCCATCGTCTGGACTATTATTACAACTTATGCCAAGCGGAATGCAGCCATATTTTTCAACACTATTGGGTGAGATAATTACGACTAAAGCATAATATTAGAGATATGCCAAGAATTTATCTTGCAATTTATGAGGCAGTACTTGATGTCGTGAGAATAATGTAGAAGGCTAATACATTTTCTAAAGTTGACATGAAAATCGTTTATTCTAAATTCTATCGATCAGAAATTCTTATTCTGTGACGTTTTCATAACACATTGATCGACTGTTGTCACCGCAGATTCTTTTCACTACAGTTTTAAAGAATGCCATTCAATGCATTATTCATGAACCACGCAAGTATGATTTACTGTGATATTATGCTCCTCTGGCATTCATTTAATTAGCTCAAAATTGTATTCCATTATTCTGTAAATATATTTTAGCAATTTGTCTTTGAAAGATCTTTTCAATGGAAAACTAGAGTCTTCTAAGGTGGTTTTATATTTCAATTCCCATTAATTTTCTGCAATAGAAATAATTTATGTATGCATTAAACTTTAACGGTAAATTTATATTTGCTACTTAATTCTGAAATTTAGGCTCTTTTGGAAAAGAATTTATCTTTTACGTCCAATCTTGAAATGGTTAATAGTGCTGAGCCACTGCTGTCTGATGATGACAGCAACCAGTTGAAAGCAATCATCTCCTTTGTTATGGATTCCGATAATTTTATGCTGTTAACGCCAACTGGGCAAATGCTGGTAGTCCTTAAGGTAATAAGTGTTTTGCTGTCTTTAAATAAAATTAGCCTATTGGTAATCTAATCTTTATCGTTCAGCTTGTAGAATGTGTTACAGTTTCCAGACTATCGCAGAAGGTATGTTCCTATCAAGTATATCTGTGCTAATACTATAAGCTCCACAATTTAGACTGATAATATATATATACTATGTTATGCTTAATTTTTCAGACCTTTAAATTACTTATTTTACAAAAGATGGTTACTTGCGATTTACCTTCACTTCAATCAGTAATGCTACTTAAGGTAACCATTTATGATCGATTAAAGTATTCTAGCTATGATTATAATCTTGCACATGTAACTGAGGTAAGAAGTAAACAACATAATATACAGTATTTGTCTTTCATGAGTAGATGAAATGTGGGGACGAATTATTTAATCAAGACGACGATTATTACCTTTTAGAACGGTAATGTTATTAAAAATGGACCGCATTCAGATGATTAAATGTACTAGAAATCTACTCTTGAGTTAATTATTCTGAATTGTGTTCTAGACTAGTATTGATGATACGGTCTCCTATGATTTCGCAAGAACAGCAATTGATTTATTGCGAATGGATCATGCACTTTCCGGATGATAGTAAGGTCGGTATTTGTAGTCGTAAATGATAACGATTGCAAAACTTAGCTCGTCAGGCTAAATAAAAGAATATGACTTTGAATCGTTGTAGCCGATTGGAATGCGTTGCACAAAAGACATTTCTTTACCCTATTTCTGGGATTATAACCTTATCGTCTGGTTTTATCCGCAAGTCTATGACAATTTCGGTAATAAATAAAGTTGCTGTTACCTATTCGTGTTACTATTTTCAATGACATTAAAAATTTAAAATTGCCTTTTAGACATAATTTTACGTAAATTGATCATATTAAACCATTCCTTTGAATTGGGTGAATCTAGAGGTACGATAGAAATCATGATACAATGTTAAATTAATTATCTTAAATTCAACTAATGGTAAAAATTTACATTGCTGACGTTATTTGCTGTAGAGACGACGACAATCCTTATCGGCTGTCTAACTGGACTTATGCAGCGTACTGACATTGCTGCTAGCTCTTTAGCTGTAACGACACTATTACGTGTATTCTACAATTTTTGTCAAAGGTTTCTTGACAGCAACAAGTCTTTATCTAGCAGTATGTGCAGTTGTGTCCTAACAATTGTCAAGCGCCATCCTAATTTCACAATCCATATACTAAATTTTATTCGTTGCATTTCGGACACGCATACTGGCAGGTACCGTAATTATTCAAACCTGCCATTATAGACGGTTACTTTCTATGTTTTTTAGAGATAAAAATGTTCACGTTAAATTATAATTTTGTGTAAATTTACTTTTCTACTTAGCGGATTTCAACTGAACGTGTTGAAATCTTTAACGGATTATATTGCCTCTGTAATACCCATGACCCAAGTATTGCCCAATCTATTAGATCATTTACGATTGCTAGAAGTCTCTGCACAAGAAAAGGAAATCAAACCGATGGTATAATTGCCTTGAAACTTAAACACGAAACATCTACATGCTTTTTGTAGTTGAACTATAGTAAAATTAGATAAATAATTACTATTTATATCTGTAATTCAATGATATTAAAAATTGTTATATAAAGGTTATCGTGCAATTTCTTCAAAATCTTCTTGAAACCAGTGATATATGTCAGTTTGGCATGTGGAAAACTGGTCAAGCAGTACTTTCTATTTGCCGTTGCATAATGATAAACCATGATACGACATACATATTGAAAGGTAACAAGAGAAATTTTTTATAGAAATATGTGTATGAATAGCGCAAAAATATATTTAGCTAATGCAAGATGTACTGTTTTTATAGATTTATGTGAAGTTTTGATGAAGATGAAAGATTATTTTAATGATGTTGGTATCCTTTTACTTTCTCGCTATTTCAAATCATAAGTTTTAGTAGTTGATAATCCTCATATTTCAAAAAGTTTATTCTTAACACGTTTTATTAAGATATTAAAGATCAAGCGTATATGTACTATTGTTTGCTAACAAGCGTTTCTAATGATAAGGTAAATTATTTTACATGATTCATTGGTCTGACGGTTAAATTTACATTGTGGACAATTATTCGAATTCTTATTATAGTTGAGAACTATTCTGTCGGCAGGTTCAAGTAATAATCAGTTAGAATTAATTTCAAAAATTGTAGTAGGTAAGATTTGCTATTGTACACCAACGTTTGGTAACTTAGTAGCATTTTAAGATTACTAGCATAAAGATTGTTTTTATGGTAATAGACGATATCTCGAAACTATCAAAAGAAGTTGATTTGCCGGTCATAGAAGTCGACGATTTAGGAATATCATTGGCAAAGTAAGCTATTGCTGTCATTTTATGTGAAAAATTAGGCTGTCTTTGTATTTAATCTGATGTTAAAGATGCTCATAATTTATACCTGGATTCTTGGCATACCGATAGGGTTCCTAAAAATATGTATACAGCAGTCGATTTTAATAGCAAACGCGATCGCTTAGTTATAAGTTACGGAGATATTGTACGAGAAGAAGGTTTGTGTTTGTCATAACCATAATATATCTAGCAGTAATAGGCATCTACTGACACAGGCCCTTACTAAAACTTAATAGGTTTATTAGATCATTACTTTAAACAACTAACTAGCTCGGAAGAGTTGTGGACAATAAATGTTGAATGTTTTATCTATTACGTAAGTATAGGATTAATTCGATCTCTTAATTGGATATGTAAATCAAGCTGATTTGGTTCAAATATACATATTGACGTTATTGTCTTCTACTGTATGCAGTATAATTTATTTTTAAGATTGAATTAGTATTTATCTTTCACAAAATAGAAGGAAGATTTAGCCGTTGACTATGAAAAGAAGTATGTTGCTATTGTACTGGAGTTAGAAAGCAATAGCAATTACAAAAGCGTTAATGGTATGAGGATAGTAATTATTTCAATACTTGCAGAGAAATTTTTAGCGTTTGTAAAGTTGCATTGTCACCAACTATATTGTAAGTGATAATTTTCCCATTGATGACTAGATGTTACAGTGTCATTCCTATCGAAGGAGATATCTAGCGCACCTAACCCAGGTGAATAATGTTATAAAATCGCTCTGTTATGAAAATAGTTGCAAGCCTTTGATAAAATGTTCATATTTTGGTTATTGTAACTTCAAAATTGATTTGTACGCTCATTTGCACAGGTTGTCAAACGGTTTTTTTTAAGATTCAAAGTGTTGATCCTTTGCCATGCACGTTGAATATTAAGTAAGTTATTTTAAGAACTCATTACTTAGCTTCTTTGCTATGTGATAATAAGTTACTGATAACTTACGCGTATATACTTTCTTTAAGAGCTACAGTTACCGACAACGAAAATAGAACATGTATTGCCCCGCTGGATCCATTATCCATTGAATTTCAAGATGTTATTCTTCCTTTAGCTTTGCCAACAGATTACTTTATAGTATGTTCAGATTTAATATCAAAAGATGATCTTGGTTATGGCTATAATTTGTAACTTCTGCAATTAGTTAAGGATATATTCTTAACGATATGAATATCAAGTGTCTTCCATTTATCTTTAGAATGATAATGAGGTCCTTTCGAAAAGAATCCTTTTCGAGCAGCTGTGGTCATACATTGAAGGAAACCAATGCAAAATGTATTATAATACATACTTGTTAGAGATTTCAAATTGTTTTAAGTTTTGTCATGAAAAAATTTCTATTAGGGCTGGAGATGGAAAACTTGGTGCAATATCAATTTGCTGTCTAAATCAAGCTGACTCTCAAGAATTGCAGGATACTTTGGTATCAACACTTTCTGTTTATGTTATTGATCAAACTGGTAATTATTAAATTTCGTCTCTAAGGTGTATTGTTTTAATTTCCAAGTATATGATTAGTCTTTCTTTTAAATTTAAATATCAAAATTTTGCAGATGAGATCTGGATTGGCTGGTATCTTCCGCCTCAATATCATGTTTTACTGAAATGTTATCATCATTTAGATCACTACATAAAATTTGTAATTGCTACCGATTATTGGAAATTGTTAACATATGTAGATGATTATTTGCATAAATTTGAAAAATTAGTATCATGACTCACTTCGGAGAGTGCTCAGAATTCAGGAATATAGAATTATTGTCATGGAATAGTTTATATTAGTCATTGAAGCTCAAACATGATACTAGGACATTTAACGACAAAAAGCACTATACATACGATATTTTGAAATCCAAAAATATCTTTATTAAAATTTTATATATTGAATAATGCACAAGCAATAGGATATTGAAAGCTTTTGTCCTACGATTGATCGTACAACTGTATATAGAACTAAAAATTATTAAATATATTGTTACGCTTTTTTAGCTTTATATAAATTGTAATGACCGTGTCATAGTCTTCTGCTGTTACAGTCTCATACTAGAAATAGTTCAAGTGCGCCGTTTGACCCTATTAGCCACATACTGTACTACTACAATCAGCTGAGATCATTACAATAATTAAAGGTAAAACTATTTTTATATTTACGTAATGATATATTTAACGATTATTAAATAGTAATTATTGATGTTTCCTGACCTAATTGAATAATTGTTTTCTATTATATATATACTTGATATCTAATGAAGAGCCATGTTGTCTGTTAGAAATTGCGATGCTTTTTCTATATGTTTTATGTTTTAGTATGAAATCCGCTCTCACTAAAGAGTAACATTATGTAAATTACAAGATTTGGGATTTTCATAAATGTTATCAGTGGTTACTTGCTACAATTGTGTTAACATGCAATTGAAAACTTCAATACAGCCAAAGCTTAACAGATTTTTCAAAGATAATAGCTAAGGTTACCAAAACATACCGTAATTTTTAGCTAGTAAGGGTAGGTCTTAAGCAAACTTAATAATACTATATAGTAGCTTGGCCACGCTAAAATTTTTAGTGAAGTATTTCTCAAATTTCAAGAATTAAATACAGTACACTTACTTCTTAATTTTAATATCGTTTTATTATAACGAAGTAATCGTTATTTAATAGTTAATACTACTTTATTAATGAATTTAAATAGATTTAAACAGATATACGGTATAAAGTACATGGATTTCTGACTTAAATTAGAGATATAGCGACTGTAATGATTTTCAAGGCATTTTTATGCAATCTTAGGTACGTGTTACAGTGTTATATACTGTATTACAGTAGAAATATCTATGTTAGGATAATTCTATTAGACTATCCTTATTTAGTTAACTTCTAATTTGGATATACTGGGTTTTAATATAGCACTGACTTTTTATGACAGTAACACTTATACACATACTGAAATTAATAGTTATAATAGGGAATGCAAATCATCTGCTTACAGTTCGAATCATTGTGATTGTAATTTACTTATGGTAGACTGTAAATTATCATGGAAATGTTCCGTGATAGGACAGATCGTAATCTGACTATTCTGTATTAGTCATTACATGTCTATGTTCGTAAATACTGTTGTCTGCATTAAGGGAGCAGTAGCTAAAATTAATATCTAATTCAGTAAATGATTGTAATGTTAATTGTATTAACTATGACTCATGAACTATTGAGAAGTAGTATATAAATGCAGTATATTGTGAAATAAAGAATTATCCAACTTGGTGTTTAACGTAAAATACGAGGCGTTTAAGTCTTTGTGTAGTCTGCTAGAAGAGCAAAAGTGTTCGTGATAGTGCAGATATCGTTCCTTGATACGTGGTTCAAGGAATTGACTTATTCATCGTATATTGCGTTATCTTGTTGCAAAGCTGTTTTGTGACAGTACGGTAGTTCTATTATTTGCACGAAATTGTAGCCATTGATATCCATTATCGGGATTGAATGGATCCACGTGTAGAAATGAGTGGACTAAATAATATAAAACAATAATTAGAAGCATCTATCTACTATCAGTGCCTGAATTGAGTCATACTAATCTAAAATGGTTAAAGAAATAAAATTTTGGTCTGAAGTATTTTTTCTGCATCACGCATCTTTAAGGATAATTAATCATTATCGGTCGTCCTGCTATAGCAGAGATCATGTCGATGAACTTGGACTATCTTACAGAAATAAGGTCTTGATTTACATTTGTATCACCAAAATAAATCGACACTGCATGACTCAGTATAAATCCAAATGTAATTAGATAATAATATTTTATTATTTATCTAAATTATAATATTTGTTTGCGTACAATAAAGCATCCCTAATCTAGAAAGAGTTAATGGACTTATTATCTCAATATAAAGAAAAAATTGGGTAAGAACAGCTTGTAGGAACATAGACGATAATATAGACGAAACATTTGTAGAGTATAATACGTATGTCTGATAAGTATCTGTGATTATGACTTCCTATACAATTATCTGGCACGTCATATTAAACTAATTAGTAGTTTTCATTACATTTAAATTTTTGTACTGATCATTAAACTAACGTTTATTGCACCGTATCAATTACGTTGACATGTTATCATTTTCTAAGCTATGTCTTCTGTAGTGATATCTAAACCTAAATGATCAATATTAAGACAAGTGAAAATACTCCGGATAAGCTGCGTTATCGTTAGAGACAACGAAAATTGTTGGATGATGTGCTTTATCTACAATAGAATGAACGCGTATTGATTGGCTCTCAGGAATCCTTTGCAGATTAGGTTTGTCCTTGCCGGTAGATTTTGCATAAATTCCTGCTAATACACGAACGAATAGTAACATATTGCCGTATTGTAAGGCCTTTTGAGGCTGATATGCGAAATAGGTTCCTGTACCATGCAAACTCCCTATAAAATGAATAAATTAATTGTAAGCACTAATTCATTGTTTAATTAAAATACACATGTTAATAACGTTATGTCAGAATTGATAAGCTAATGTGTTGTCAGGTAGTAATACATAGTAGTCGGAGCGTAATCGCCTTCAATCAAATTTCCTCGTGTTGTTTTCATCGGATTAAAGCTTTACAATCAACAAGATAAGGTAATTATATCTTTATGTAAATTTATGTTCTTAAATTGAAGTTAAGGGTGTCCAATGGCTAATTCTAATTGTAAGATTATGAAATTAATTTATAAATCGCTGATATTGTAACTTAGTCAATAAACAAACAGACATAAAATATTGCTAGGTTATAGACGCTCGAGATTATCATATCCATCTTCTGTATGTTTCAATAATATAGAATTTTGGACTTTGAATTCATTCTAGTTATCCTTACATTACGACAGAGGCTTTGTATTTAATTCACTATCATTCACTTTTACGAAATAAATAGTAAATTTTAATTTTTTAATTAAAATTTACAATTTATTTTTAGCTACAGAACAGCATGTATTCAGAACCTTCTATGAGTAAACGAAATTCTGAATAGGATGCAATTTAATTAGCTTTATTGCTGCAATAATTTCTATAAAATGTCGTGCATTCAGCAATTTTTGCTAGATCCTAAATTCCTAACTAATATCTTAACGTTTTAATTTGAGGTATCGAACTTGACTCATATATCCTATAATGATATTTTAAGCTCTATCTCTTTATACAGCTTTGCAAGCTATTACAAAACGTTTCTATTAGTCGGTATATTTCCTTGATTTTTTGCTCTTCCATTTATTAAAGTAAAGTAACTATAGTTCTTCTAGGTGTGGATAATGCTTTTATTCTTTTAGTGCTATGGCCTACTGTCACAAAACATCTTTCGTGAACGTACCTAAACTAGTCTATCTACCTTATGGTTCTCCGACTAAGTCTGGAGATCCTCAGTAAGAGAAAACTAACTTATTCCTATACTATAGTAATCAAGTCAAAACGATAGGTTTAGGTTAATAAATACATTTATTACTAGCTTGCTTACGTTTGTACCAGTGTACCCTACGTTAGCCTCAGTGGAACTGAGATTAAAAAGTAATATTCAAGCTTATATATAGTTTCATGTGTCACGCTGTATTCTACTACGATAATTAATAACAAAATTCAATTAACAACTAGGTTGTTGCCGAGATCGGTAACCTCCATAGTAACATTATTACACATATTAGATCAAAATATTATTCATTTCGGATAGAGCTCCGTCACACCTACTTATTTATTAGCGACGCTATCTAAACTGCAAAATTATCAAATGTACTTATTTATTGTAAGTTTGTACACATGATGCGTGTATCGAACTAGATATTTTGATTGAAAATTAATAATATTATCTAACACTAACAAGTGTAACTAACAAATCTGAGGCAGAAATAATCTATATTTATATATTAAGAGATAAGAATGCATGCAGAGAGCAGGACAGCAGAATTAAATATGATATTTACCATAAACAGACAAAGTAATAATAAAATGATTGTATGAAATAGCGAAGACTGTAGGTGCTACAATTAACTAAACATAACAAGCTATATTTCAGTATAATTGTAATTGTAATAGAATGTAAAGTTATCTCTATATTTGATACAATGCAAAATGTCTATACTAATATATTAAAGATTATGTTTAGACTAAAATGAAATATAAATACGCGACAATTTGGCTCAGTAATAGAATAATCAAATTCCTTGTTTAAGAAAGAATTTTAAAGCATTTGGACATTGTACATATTTTTAAGAATCAATTCCATTTATATATTACAGCTATAGCAAGTTATGGTATGTTTTGGCATGAAGAAAATTCAAAAGGGCATGATCATATAAGTGTAATTTATGTGATTACGAATAAACTCACTGTCAATATAAAACATAGATATTAAATTCTTTAAATTGTAGCAAAACGAAAAGATCATGCAAAACTACTCGCAATCGTCTATGTAATGAACTTCTAGAAGGCTAAAGAACTTAAATACACTTTCAAGTCTTGTCTTGCAGATTGACTTTTAGAAAAGACTCTCAAAATTATGGAAATCATCCACATTTATCGGAATTTTCAAGGTACAGAATATATGATAGCGGTAAAACAGATTATATATCTACGCCATTTTGTCTACTTGAAAGTCTGAAGATCTGTTAGTACTCTATACAATTAATTAAGAATGTAGTGCACAATATTGTCACGTACTTTTTCTTTATTTCAAAGAAAGATCTGTTATATTTCTAATATTAGAAGAATATTTACTCTTAATATTATTCGATAACTATCAGACACTATTAGTAAGTAATAGAACCGGTAGTCCGTTAGCTAAGGGCGTAAGATATATGTGAATAAGTGCACTGTAATCATAATGATACCCGATACCATTAATAGGAGCGTGATCATATCCTGAACAGTTCGATTCTTGCGACCTTATATATTTTGATGATGGTTTAAATGCTTTATTTAGGGATTTATGCTTGATTTTAGGTAACCTTATTGTAGTATATGCATTGAGCTATACATATTTATCTAAGAACTAACGACAGGAGCTGGCAATTTGAATCTAGTTCAAGATATCTTATTTTACATTTGCTTACTGGTTAATTATTACTTCACTATTTTAAAACCTTGAAATGAAAACTTTCTTTAAATTCTACCTTGAGTGAGATTGTTACCATTTTGTGTACAGTAGATTTATAGATTAGCTAGAATAGATTAATTGCTTTTATTACCACATCTTTTAATCTAAGTACTATCGCTTTCTGGATAGATCCTAATCATAAATTGAAATTGAACAATGCTATTATGATTACAGGCAAATTCTTCTATTCATTTTACGAAGTTATCGTACTCGACATTGTCGATAGTTAATCTCGATATCAGGCGCCTGTTTCTACAGTTATATCGACCTGCTCGGAAGAAAATTTAAATCATTTTAATTAACAATACTACATTCAGCGGTTACTCTAAGATAGATCCTGCAAACAGATCTAAGCCTAAAAAGAATTAATAGTACCCATGCAAAATGTATTCTGGATAAGCTGCATTATCATTAGAGATAACAAAAATCGTTGGATTACGAAACTGATCAACAGAAGAATGAACGCGTTTTGCTGGACTACCGGGAATTGTTTGCAAGTTAGGTTTATCTCTGCAGTTAGATTGGGCATAAATTCCAGTTAAGACGCGAACAAGTAATAACTTATTGCCGTAACGTAAGGCCTTTTTCGGCTGATTTGCGAAGTAGACTCCTTTACCATACAAAAAACCTGTAGTAATGATAACAACATAATCAATAATACGATCTTTAATTGAAGAACAACTATTAGTGATTTTATAGGCCATTTAGTAAATTAAGTCAATAAATTATCATTTTAAATAGCTTTTTAGATATAGAACTACTTTTAGACATTCTACTCTTATTTGATATTATAATACTGTTACTCAGTACTAAAATTAATCGGATAAAGTGGTAATAATTCTTTGCCATTAGCTATCCTTAAATTGCAATAAAGAATACGTTATTTTAAGTTCTAGTAGTTGTATGTTAGATTATTAATTTATGATTCGATTACTACGAAAATATAGATATAAAATAAAGCAAAACCTTAGATATGATAGCATGTAGGATAAAAGTAAAATCGAAGATTTCTATATTCTGCAAATCTCTTTTAATTTTAGATACTGACGTCCGTGTGTTGTCTTGGAAAATAATTAGTCTCTGAATTAGCTCAATATCTAACAATAGCAAGACAACTACAATTCACTGAGACATGAACGATAGGTTTCTCGCTCCATTAACGTTTTGCTTCAATTTATTTTATGCCAGTATTTTATTTGAGCTGTAATTCTCATAATTACAAATTTGTCCTACTCTGATATAAGTCAGCTTTTACTAGAATTTCACTTAGTAGAAATTAATTTTATTGCCCTCACCTAGTGCATTACCACAGTTATTAATATCAAATCCTGCTCTACAAATATTTTCAACATTTTGACTCTTGGTTCCATGAAATAAACGCCTTTCAACGGGCACTGAAGCCTTATATTTAATCACTGAAGCTTCTATTTCTTTTTTTCTCTGTTGAAAATGATAATATAAATTCCAATTTTGCACTCGCTGAAATTTAGTAACTTTAATGCCTCGTGATCCTATGAGATCAAATAATTCTTTTCGCTCTTTCTCATTTACCACATCCATAATCCGAGGAGGTCCATATTTGACTTCGTCAATAGAGTCATATTGCCAATAATCCGGCACATCGATATCTTCTATAATATAATGAAGGAAATCATTACCTATATACATTACTTCATCGTATCATACTCGTATGTTCAGAAATATGCAGTAAGCAGCGGCTATGGAATTCTTAAAAACTGTGTCACGGTACGAACTACCGTGAAGAAATAGCTATCTAAATTTGGTTAATATAATATAGTGATAATATATTACAACTAGTTACTTACAATAGGGATTACTCTAGTTATAAATATGTTACAGTAAATTTAATGCTGTGCTGTAATGTGCACTGAAACGATTCTGTGAATGGACATGTTGTAGTCCGACTGTGAAAAATTAGTTAGTAAATGTTCTCACCTAAGTATTTTTATAAGATGACTCATGAATGTTAGCTTCTGTAGAAGGGTATATAAGCCCGTCAGATAGTTGAATAAAGTAGTTCTCAATTGTCTAGTTGAGTTTAACGTAGAGTCAAAGGCGTCTAAATTCTTGAGGGATAGTTAAGGGATACTGAATCCCGGAGATTATAGTAATTTAGAGATTTGTTTTACACTATCTTTGTCACGAACCAGCTTCGTGACAAACTGGCATACCAACATATTCGTACACTACTACTTCATACAAATCTGCTACTTTTTTTAGCATGAACGAAAATTTTCGTGTAGTACTTTAGGAATACGAGTAGCATTGAGCTGCAATACATAAAGACATTATGTTCTGTCTTATTAAAAATACCTATATATATTAGATGTCGAATATAAACTGACCGAATATTTGAACTAACCCACAGAAACACACTTAAGGTATCGCCCTACATAATTCAATCCTTGTCATCCAAGATTAAAATAAAGGTATAATTTTACTAACAATAAATCTGTGCTACCAGTCATCTATGAAATAGTTTTATGAAGCAAATGCGATCACGTACTCCAGGCAATGAGCCCAACTTTTTTTAAAGAAATATCTTCATTATATTACAGATCTAGAGTGTTCATGTAAATACCTTGGTAAATAATTCTGTCTATACTATATTGCCAATCATATCTTGTTTCTATCTTCATATTTTTGTAATCTATGGCTCTGATATAAAAGCTAAAGTTATTAATACGTTGGCAATTTTTAGTTTTTTCAAAATTCTTGTAGTTTTTTTCTATTTGGTAGTTTAATTTTTGATCGAAAGGATAGCTTATATTGCCAACTTTAAGTACCCATGCGACAGAATTGACATTCAATTCTTGCTCTTCTTTTATAGCAAATTGCTCTAATTTTAACTTTGTGAGTTGACGAATTTCTGATATTGCGTTGGTTATATCGTTGTTGAAGCCGTAAAGTAGTAAATTCCTACTAGAATCTTGTTTAGGTTTTCTACTAATGAAGGTGTTGTATTTGCACCATAGTTCAAGTGCATAACGATGCCAGTGATCATTTTCCATATTACATATGTAATTATCAACCGGAAGAATTTGAGTAGTCCACGATGGAACACATTCTTCTATCTTCGATTGAATTTTAAAGATCGTCTCTTGATCGTATGCAGCAATCAAAATCTTAATACCATCAACATCTTCATGAATGTCGTGAGTGATTTTCCATTGCAATTTTGGATTTTGTCTGATATACTGCCGAATCCAAGTAGCAGTTTCTAAAGCACGCTGCTTTTGACCCATTAAGAAACGAATACAATTAATTTTACTTTTATGTGATTTATGCTGATTTAAGAATAATTCATACTTCAATATCAATTTGTGTATATCTTCCCTACTAAAATCGACATTTAATAAGGGACATAAGATTGATTTTCTACCACTTGCATTAAGGCAAGTTAATAAAACACCAAAACCGGCTATTAATCCGTAGGGGCAAACTTGACATAATTGCGGTGTTTCTGTACAACTAGGATCGAATTGTATCGTTTCTGAAGTATGGTCAGATGTCGGAAATCGAAAATTTTCCGTTAATTTACTCGATATCAAGTGTTGACTACACAAATTTGTAATGTCGATTAAAACTTGACTTTCGGTGTGCAGGGTTGTACCATATTCCACGCATACTTTACATGATTCTTGATAGTTATCACACTCTGCTATAAAGACAGCATTCGATAGCGGACTCTGTTCTTTTGTTGTCTGGTTAAAATTTTGTGTTATAAGTGAAATTTCAGTATTTTCGTCTAGGCTTAATTGTTGCTCGTTGACTGCTTTCAAAACCTTCTGGAAAGCCTGATGACATCTTGCGTTATTGTCGATAACAATTTGTATTAGGATTAGTTTTTGCGAACTTTGATTTTCTTGAGCAAAGTTTATAATGACACGGAATGTTTCTCTTGCTATTTGATTATAATGTAAATGATTTTCATCAATTCCTATCACAGGTATAGCTATTGAATTCATTTGAGCTTTGCTAGCAAGACGTAGACATTCTAGTAGTTTAGCTTTCAGCGACTATAGTAAAGAAAGTGAAAACATTTCTTATAGCAACAAAGCTACTGATATTTAATAATAGGATAAGTGATAGGTTTACGAAAAAGATCGGATAATTTATATTTATCGAATTAACACTAACTTGTAATGACCGGTCAGAACTTAAGAATGGAATATGATAAACTTTCTTACAACCAAAGTATTTGCCGTCAGTGATTGCAATATCATCATTAGTCATTTTCTTAAAAGCACTTTTACATTCCGTTTGGTATGCTTTTCCGCCTGATTTAGACAGGCTACTTGCAATATTTCCTTCATGATGTTGCTTGAAATGGACTGAATTAACAATAGCATCGACCTAATTTCACAAAATGAGCATCGTTAACATATTGGAAAGAAAGTAACTGCTTGAAATAGCAGGTATAATTGAACTATAAAACTACTATTCTCATCCTGACATATTTGGATTGTTGTTGAATTAGTCCTTGTATAAGTTCTATCTTGATGTCGCTGATCATTATTTGATCTCTAGTGAGATACAAAACATCCTTAAAGGGCAGAGTCTTTGCACTAATGGTTGTTTCAATTTCTGACGTAGAGGAGTTGCAGTATTGAGTATCGACAAGTAGATTTGAAGGCCTAATAAACAAATTAAAATCATTTAGCAGCAAATAGCTACGGTAATCTTTCGATGAGTGAAGAATCTAATGCTTTTCATCTATAATTTGGCCCATATTACCAAAACTACTAGGTAAAATACGAAGTTTTGAGCATTATCAAATCGAGAAATTTTTCTGAAGTCATATCTTGACTCATGATTTTGTTCAAGGGATATTTTAAATTTAGCCAATAATCAAATTAAGACTGTCTTCTAAAATTGATAATTTTAGGATAGAATACTTTTCAGTAATATGCCTGCACGACGAATTTATAAAGTAATGTAAGCCTTAGTAAGGATTGTTATATGGTTAAGAAATAGGTCTAGAAAACGTGGGAGAAATATCGGTTTACGGATATTCTCCGGAAAAAATATACCCAAAATTATTTCTTGAGTTGAGATAATAACTTCAAATTGATAGAAGCAATCACCACTGTACGGTATTTATACATAAGAAATTACAGTTAACCATTATGGTCAAACTACGTATCATATAAGAGTGAAACAAATATTGCATTTACGGTAGATAATGAAGATTAAGAAATTTGTGATTTTAAGATAATTTTTCGGATAGAACTCTTCGATGAAAATCACTTCAGATAGACAGCAGCAATCAATGCTGCATTTATATTGGAATTGTAGTATATTGCTATTGCTAACCTACATATTAAATGAGAGTGAAACTAACTATACATATATATTGCGTACGAATTGCGTCATATTAAAATTATGTTAGCGTTAATTAATAGTACAAGATTAATTTCACGTGATTGAAGATTATGATGTACTGCAGTACCGCCACAGTCATAGACCTGTAGTTTTTGTTCAAGCAAAGCAAATTGTTTAGGCATCATGCAGTAGCGTAATAGCAATCAGTCTCAAATTAGTAATTTAAAGATAGTGCTAGATAGATATAAGCTAAAAAAAAGTGTAGATTTAAGAGTGAGGAATTTTGCCACACACTTATACATTTCAATTTGATAGCTCTAAATCTTTAACTTTGTTATAATTATTAAAAGCGTCAGGCTCGCATAAAGATCGATGTAGAACTACTGCACATTCAGTATCATTTTACTACTAATCTGAAAGCTAATTCAAATATTCGATTTTGAGATATTCATCGGAAATAACGACATAAATTTTCTCGTAATTCGAAATTTCTTACGTATAGTGAAGAAAATGATGATGATGTTTGATTTAGGCTGCGAAAGTCCCTAATGTCTAAATTTGTTATCTTAACATGAGTTATACGTGCTCAAAATTGGCTATCTTATAATAAAAGGAATATAATTATCATATGCGTATTACAATTGCTAAAAGTGATAAAACTAATCCGTAGTTTAAAATATCAATTACCGATATTATTTAATTAGCTTTCTAGCTATCAACATTTACATATAAAGAAGCTTACTCTGAAACCGTTGGAAAATGGACGTCAATTTTGCATTCAAATTCATCTCGAATGTTCTGCAGTTTAATTTGACCATCATTTTCGGTGAGAAATCGACCCATTCTAGAAAATTGGCTAATGCCTGATTGCTCGTGGACGAACGAATAACGAAATAACTTTTTAATTTGGAAATAAATAAGTTGCTGATCATGAGGATAGCATTGAATAATAATATCTCCTTCTCGACCATCTTGATTAGCGGGGGTGTCATTTGTAACATTTTTGCAATGTACGTAACAGTGATATTCTTCCTCAATACGATGAAAATGATGTCGAAGAAATTCTAACCAAATAGATGATCCAGTTTCGATTTTTTGGTCAATCGAAAATTGGATCATTTTATAGTCTAGAATGCTCTTGTTGATAGCAACTAAAACTTGTTTCACAGAATCCTTCAAGCCAATCGCAATAATATTACAATGAGCGGATTGGGTATCAATTTCGGTTTGCAGACAAACTTTGTGCTGATCCGATAAATTAAGAAGGAAATCGGGCTTCAGGACCTTACCATCTAACACTAAATTAAAACTATCACCAATAATTTTAATCGATTGGGTTGAAATTTCACAGTGTAAATAAGAAATTGCTCTTGAATATTCTGAGTGATTGAGAGCAACGATGGAAATGAAATCTTGTTGATTCTTATAAATTCCTGCTTGAATAGATTGCTCCATTAATTTTCTATTTAGATGATGTTGATTGTCGTCATATTTGGATAAAAAGCTCGTCATCGATTCTGTCAAGCCAGCACTACTAATCTCAATCCCAATAAGTGCTGTTAATTCTTGCATAATAATTAGTTTATAATGTTCATTCATTTTAATGGCTATGATAGGATAACCATATCGTTGAAAAAATTTAAAATAAACAGGAATGCCTTTTAGACGTAATTTCTTATCTAGCTCAATGAGTTGCAATAAGAATTTGACATGATGAGCTATAGGAAACTCTTCTAATTCTCCATCTATTTCCCCCCATAATTCCCTTTGATCGCAAATGCTTTCCGTGTCACTTTTAAATTCTTTCTGGCTATGTTGGGATGCGGTTGAAAAATCGTCTGAATCACTCATGTCAGAAATATTATGGCTAAAGTCTATAATGGAAAAGGGTAAAAGTTAAGCGAAATTTACGGAATGCCGAGATAACATAGAATTCTATGAGTTTGGTATACTTTGAATATTAATAACTAGAGGATAAGCCAAGCCTTTGATTAAGATTAATAATATGATAGCGGTACTGTAATTTCTGAAAGCTAATATGAATAGAAATTTCGATAGCTTTTTGATACGTTAATACGATCGCTAAACTTAAATTGGCTTATTAAATCATAGTATAAAGTTAAAGAAGCATAATTATGTCTTGTCTTAAGTAATAATAGACAATTTACAGGCGTTTCTTTACTAATATGTCTTACTCTTTAGAAGTGACTTTCACTAACTAATGCTGATCTAATTTCATCAAATAACGTATGTAGGTATTTGTTGGAAACACTATCATCTATGATTTTATACCTTCTTATTAGATAAATCAATAGTTTTATAATTTTATTCAATTACCTATAATAAATTTTTATGTAAATTGGCTATAAATCAACTGGTTTTTAAATAAGTTTGAGTTTAGTTATGTCTGAGGAGACTAGTAACTACCGTTCCTCCTGATACTAGGAGATCGTCATTATTTAGAGTCATACTGTAGGTAAACATCGTCAAGGGCAAGTTTTACTGTAGGCTATTAGCGTTTAGTTTTCTATGATAGTTGTATTTTTTTCGTCGCAAAATTTAAATTTGTAATGCTTGTTAACCAGGTAAAGATCTACTCTATTGAATCCGAATATTAAATTTTTACAATAAGAAGTACGATAGGTAATGGATGAGGATGTCATTCTATTATGAATCATTGTAACGTTAGCTGATTGCAATATTATAGGCCTTAGATACGAAATTCCATGATTAAAGGTTACGATTTCGTTAAAAAGGCGTTAATTTCTTAATTAAACGAAGTTTTATTTATGAAATCAGGTCTCCTTCTTATAGAATAGTTTTCAATGACTACAGATCTTGGAGAAAATTATTCTTAGCCTCTCAATATTAATCGAAGTTAATTTTTGTAGTATTCTTCATTAATTATGATTAAAAGCGCTAAAAAATAATATGAAAAGTTAATTGCACCTTTTCATTATTTACTACTTTTATTGCCCCCTGGAACAGAAATAAATTCTACTTTTTATATTAGCTGCTGTACCTTCAGATTCAAAGATTTCCATGGCATTTTCAGGTTGGGCTTCACTTTTGGGAGAATCCTAGCGAAATTAAATATTCCATTAGCTATACATCAGAAAGCCCTTACGCTATCAGTAAATGACTAATTTTAAGGCTATATGAAAAGCTATGTTTAATTTTAAAAATCCTTAATGTTAACTCCAAATCTGAAGTAAATGACATAGTGAATATTAAAAGAATACGGTTAATTTTGTTCATATTTACTTTCAATTCCTTTTTTTTTATTATCATTGATATTAACTTCTTAAAAATTAAAGAATCTTTACATTCGTCTGCTAGAAATGCCTTAATTTGTTTGCCAGGTTCAATGTTGAAATATCGAAAGCAAAGTAAGGCAATTAAGCCGCTCTTGTCATCTTTATACGTAAGGCTTCTGTATATTAAAATAGCGATAAATGTTACGAAATTTAGGATAATGACAGTATTTTGCTGATATTTTTTGTACGGCAAGTATAGCAAAGGTTTTGATCTACTATTTAATTTAAAATAATTTAAAATTGAGCGCAAGTTGTTAAGTAAGAATAGATTTATTTGCTGTATATCAACTTAGGCACTGATGAAATTAAGTGTACAGTTCGACCGTAGACATATTATAATTAGTCTCTGATATTCGTAAGTTTATCTAACTTCCTAGTACTATCAGACGACCGATCTATTAAAAACCCATTTATCTATATTTACATGCAATCAGAAGAGCCATTTTTGCAATCAATAATTTCTCCAGCTTGACTAAAGCAGTGAATACATTCCACCTATAAATAACGAAAACTAATCTTTTAGAGAGCTCAGTTTACCCTTACACACTTAGTAGGTATCAAACACGATGATATTATTCTAGTATATTATTGTTAATTGACGAAAGGGCTTACTATGCTCATCGATATTGGCAATCGTGATACATGAATGGTGATTGGTTTAGATTCGCCTGTAAAATGCCGTAATTTCCTGTGGTAGAGGATTTTTCTAAAAAAATAATGGAAAAGATATTATAGTTAGATAAAGCTAGACTTTTCTCCATATATATATACATATACATATCCAGACACGGTTCTAATTTTTTGCTCTTATAGAAATTGAATGACCATTTCTATCTGTCAATCAATCAGTAAGAATCTAATTTCCATACTTATTTAACAATTCTTTACGAAAACGTAAAAAGCTTTCTTATATCGGTACTATTTTTCTTCAGATATTAATGTCAATACCAATAAGCATTATTCACCTGCTTTCTAACAAGCTATCATAAAAATTGCCTTTACAAGCCTTTACTTTCTCTCTCTTTTGAAATAGCATTTCATTTAATCGTTGGCGCAAGCCCAACGGCATTGCCAAAGACCAATAAACTCGGAAAGATAATCGACTTCCTTCAAGCCTTCTGCCATAAAGATTTGCCATTACCGTCACAGCATCATTTTCGGAGAAGACCTGAAGGATTCTGTGTCAACGCATGATGAAGAATTAGTTTGAATAGAAAGCGATTGCTGGCATGATTTAATGTATTTAGCGGAGTCAAGCAATTAACTAATGCTTGTGATTTCTGCATTATAGGCTTCATTAAGCCTCAATAACAAGAAATGATACTAACAATTATGTCTGATGATATGCTATAGCCATTAACAAACCAAAAAGTAACTTTGCATCAAATTTATCATATATTTTTTCCCTGTTCCTATACATTTATCATATGAATCTGATAAAATTTTAACCTTACAAAGCCTCAATGTTATTTTTAACTACTTACGCAAAATTTCGTTCTTTTTTTTTATAATGAACATATTTTCCGAATTTGATACTACTACGTGAGGACGTTAGGGTGTTTACTTGTCCTATAAATTTCTAACCATAATGTCAAGAGATTTTATGTATTTATATTCATAATGAAATAGCAGGTTTATTTTTAGAGTATATTTTTAATTTTCGATTATCCATAGTTTAATCAAAAATTTCTATTTTAAAATACATTGCAAAATAAATGAATGCATACACAAGTTTTAAGATTACTACTTCAGACTGTATTTGTCTACAAGTTTCATCAGCTAATAGTGATCTATAGTAAAAACTTAGTCTTTCATCTAGAATGAAGGGACCAAGTAGATATTAAAATATCAAATTAAACATAGAATTTAATGTTGATGATTTATTAATTCATTGTTTGCAAAAGTGCTTTTTACAAAACGGCTAGAGCTAATTGATATTTTTGCAGCATTACCATACTTTCAAAGCATATAATTGCTATAATAAACTGAAAATTATTACAGTTTCATATCATGTAGGATTATCGTAAGTCTTAAATTGTCGACATAAATCCTTAGAAAATAAGGAAATCGACTTCCATCTAATCTAGCTTAACAATCAGCAAATAAGTAGTCTTTACTCGTCTATATCACATACGGTAAATTTTTCTACCTTTAAGGCGATCTCTTCCATCTCACAAACCCATATTTCGTACGAATTACTATTTAATTGATGAATGCTAATAAATTATAAATAAGTTCATATTAAAATTGGAATAGGACGGTAATTTTTGGTAGCTATTTAATTTTAGTGATGACATATAAAAAGCCAATCACTAATAAAATTTAGGTGATACAAATGATGGTTTCTACAATTTTCACTACAATTATCTTCGATGCCTCCAACGAAAGGTAGCATGAAGAGGTACAGCATATATTTCGATTTAAGGTCTTCTTAAATTAACCAATACTTTAATAACGTTACGAATTATAATGTACAGTTTATTAAACTTTCTAATGTCTTGCAAATCAAAAATAAACAAAGACACTTCTGCTGCTGGTAATTAATAATCTACTGGATTCTGTCAAACTAAATCATTTTCTAAGTCATAGAGTTTACAGTGAATTTTTACCATGCTATTAAAGACTATAACTTATTTATCAATCAGATCATAAAATTATTACGCTTGATTATGTAGATAATTCATGGTAGTATTAATTTGAAGTAAATATTCTGTTAAAATATAGATGGACTTCTGATTAATAATTCTTTAGCTATTAAGATTAATTAATACAGAACTAAATGCATTAATATTATTTCAATAAAACTATAATTGAGGATAAAATGCCTAAATCTTAGATGCTTGTGCAACTTGAATTTATTGACAGTGAATCAAGAACCATTTAATCGCTTTTGTTATGCACTGAAATTAGTATTTGGTTATCTGTTAAAGTTATGAAATGATGATACTTATTCTAAGATATTTTAAAGCAATACTGTAAATGCTTCTGAATGGATTAGATAATTAAAAGTTTTTAACTAGCTGTTTAACGCATTAAAAAATTACGATTTGCTTTTTTTTAGCTATAATATTGTAATATAGAAAGAGCAGACCTGAGAGAATTTGTCGTTGCCATCTTTTAGGGGATACTAAGGAAAGCTTGAAAATATGCAAAACTCTATCCTATATAGAAAGGATCGATAATTCAAACCTATATTAGATAATAAACAAAAGTATTGAGTTTCTCTGTAATTTTAAGATAATTCTAACCATACTGAGAAAGCGTATGCTCGTATATATATAACAGTACTCATAAGTTACTGGCAATTAATTTTGAATAGTTGCTAAAAATTTGATCGGTATTGCAATTAACTAGGTTCTATCAATATGATGAAATACAGCAATTTTTAGCAAAGCAAGTAGTATTAGCTGTCACAACCGAGATTGTAACACAAGAATTAAACGGGATTCTTTCCTCTAAAGTAGACTTAACTATCTAAGCAACTAACTCTAAGCACTCTTTAATCAACCAAACTTAGATTCGAGTCTTAGACGATAGATTACTCACGTTAAGGATCAAAACTTTATTCTAGAAGCTATTTTATTAAAATGTCCGATTGAACACACAACTTACAATTACGACTAGCAACTGATAACCAGCTGTCATCGACTAACGTAACTAACTCTCAATTAAGAACTTTGAGACTTTATATATCCTCACCAACTTCGTTGGTGCAAAAACAGTAATTAATTAATAACCCAGTCTACATACTTATTATAGCCAGAATCACAACACACTTTCTATGACATTTAATATTAGTTAATTAGTAGCTAGGTGTCAACATATGATTCATCACACAACAAAATTATAATATTGATGATGCATTAATTAATGAATGTCACATTAGCATACATGATATTCTAGTAACTCCAAGTATTAACAAATGATTAAATTAAAAAATTATGCTATTTCTAAGCTTCTGAATCAAATTTTGATCTGCTACAGGGTAGATCAGAGAATCAATCTTACGGTTGCAATATGGTAATCAAATAATGGTTCCTCATATTGCAAGAGTTAGCAAAGGCTTTATCTTCCTTCCCTTACTTCTGTTATAAATTACGATTTGCAACAAAGTAAATGTAAACTATTACTTAGAAATTAGATGTACTTATAAGGCCACTGGGCAGACCTATCCTTTTCGTCATCCACCAATAGTATCACTCAATTAATGACAATTTTTCATCATCAAAAGGGTACAGGATAACTATACTTCCCTCAAAAGATTAGACTATGAGCCCAAGCTTTATTTAATGTATCAAACAATTACAGTAGTATTATATTGCTGAGTTCATGTTCAATATCAATACTTTAATAACCTTGCTGGGCAAAATGAACCAATACGCATGCCCCGTAAAGATGTAGCTATATTTTACCGGGTATAATTAAAGCGTAGCTTTTAAATTTTTACTTTAATCTAAGCAATGTTGCAACACTGACCGCATATAGCACTTCAGAAAGATATGATTCGAGAGCTACGATATCGCTTATTTCTTACATTGTACTACATCCAATTATGACAGTCTTATATACTGTATTAGAGTAAAAATATCTATGTTAAGATAATTTTGTTAGCCTATTCTTATTTAGTTAATTTCTAATTTGGATATAATGTATTTTAATATAGCACTGGCTTTTTATGACAGTGGCATATATACATATACTGAAATTAATAGTTATATTAGGCAATGCGAATTATCTACTTACAGTTCAAATCATTATGATTGTAGCTTACTTATGGTAGATTGCAAATTATCATGGAAATGTCCCGTGATAGGACATATCGTAATCTGACTATTCTGTATTAGTCATCAGATGTCTATGTTCGTAAATACTGTTGTCTGCATTAGGGAGAAGTAGCTTAAATTAACATATAAAACTGCCAATGATTCCAAAGTTAACCATACTAACTATGACTCATGAACTATTAAGGAGGAGTACAGTATGTAAACGCAATATATCGTGTAATGAAGTTAATTGTGAAACCTAGTGTTTAACGTAAAATAAGAGGCGTCTAAGCCTTTGTGTTGTCTGCTAGTAGAGTAAAAGTGTTCCTGATTGTGTATATATCGCTCCTTGATACGTGATTCAAGCAATTCACTTATTGATCGTAAATTCCCTTATCTTGCTGCAAAGCTCTTTTGTGAGACCAATATATAATTACGAGTACAACCTCAACATAAATTCTAGTTGATATCACTACAGAGGATAATTCTAATGTTGTACTACATCCACTATAGTCAAATAATTACTAATGCATTCTGAACACTTATTGGAAACATTAGCTGAGATCACCACGGAAGATTATTGCAATATTGTTTATATTTCCAATTTAGGACTACGAGTACACTCCAACACACGCATTAGAATTATTAAGTGAAATTACTATACAAAATTATCCGAATATTGCATTGCAACAATATATAACTAGGAGTATATTCTCAGCAAAAACAATGGAGTCGTTAATTGAAATAGCTTCAGAAGATAATTCTAATATCGTATTACATACAGTGTAATAAATAATCATAAATGCACTGTTAATTCATTTTAGTACGATTATCGAAAATCACTACGAAAAAATGAAAATTCCTTGGAGCAAAGTCTCTTAGTCATCACCATACTTATTCTATCAAGATTTAGAACAGTGTAATGTCAGTGAAATCTCACTCTATACACTAATATAAATGGTATGAATGCTCTTACTTGGCGTTATTAAGTGTTGTAGCCTGTTTCATGATTCTCTTTCGCTCAAAGTAGTCGTTAAATTAGCTAAGTATGCCAATGAGATCCCCATAAAATGTAACTTGAAGTTAACACACATCCATTTAAACGGTTAGATGAATTTCATCACACCCAACTACAGCCTCTCTATTCTTGTTATTCATTTATGATCCTAATATGTTTGCTACCTTACCAATTGAAAGATACAAACTTCAGCACCAGCTCAAAGCATTGGATCTCCAGTTATACACACAGTAATTTATCGAATTTCAAATATTAGTCATTGTATGCTATTTAGTTTAATCAATTGGCTACGTATTTTGCTGTCTCAATAATATTTTTACACTTAGATTGAGTAAAATAAGTATGCTGGGATAAAGCTTTTTTCCTATATTATTAAAAATTTTCCCATCATTGATAAAATTACAGCACTCGACGCTAAAGTGTTTTGAAGTATTCACTTTTGTTAAAATTACAAAAATGAAGTAACCAGTTTTGACTATGTAGGATTTATTACCTTCTGAATCGTCACTTATAATTATAAATTAGTTAAATTGATAATTCAAGTAAAAGCGAACAGTTTTCACTACTGTACTCTATTCTTCAATTGAATAGAATTAATGCTGCAGTTTCAAACCGAACAATCTTTACTGCTGTACTATATTTTCAAATTGGGTATAAAATGATTGGAACAAGTTTGTATAAATAATCATTCACTCAAGGGAGCGGTAAATTAGTTCAATAACAAGCAGCGATCGAAATTGTCTTGATTAAATAATCACATTTAAGGCAAAAAAATTTTTAAACCTTTAAGTGATGCTTAGAAATTGATTACTAGCAAATAATTAAGTTCTAACCTAAGATAAAAATGCATTCTTCATTCCTACGTACTTTCTATTGCTAAATGTCGTTATTTAAGTAAAAGAGATGCTCAGCGATTAATTATAGCAAATAGTTACCTTTTATTCTTCGGCAGAAACAACTTTCTCGATTCTTAGATGCTTTCAATCGTTAACTGTCGTCGTTTAAGTTTCGATAATCAATAACATAGAAATTCTTTCTATAAGTCATTCTGGTGAACCAAGTTCAAAGTCGAAAAATTAATTTAAATCAATGTTAAGGGCAAAATTCCATGCGTGTTATCAAAAACAATTATGATTGTTCTAAAGTGAAGCTAATGGAGACCGTTGAGGTAGATCATGTTGAAATACGCTACCTTTAATGAGTCTTAATAGCTACGATGAGTAATATTTGCCACAAAGAATACAAGCTATGAGATCTTGATTATTATACTGCCTTGAAAACTTAAGCTCGCGCTACTACTGCCTTAATGTAATATGTTATTTCTCTTCTATAACAAAATGATTATCATAAAAGCTTTCTATGTCATTTCTATTCTCTCTCGTCTATTCATCGTTCTATTAATTTATGCGACTTGTATAGAAACTAATGCTATAGGTAGTTAAAATCAACAACAGAATTAAATGCTATTGAATAGAATTGTATAAAATTGATTCAATTTTAAATAAGGACGTACACAGTTTCGATGATTCGAGTGTAAATAGATAATTATTATGTAAAGGCAACATATGAATCAGCAAAGCGACGGGAGTTTGCACTAGTATAACTAATAGTGCAACTTCTAGTCTGCTTAAGTTATTTCTCATTATACGTCTATCTTACAGTAGAATAGTGCTGTTAAGTTTAATTGATTTCCATATTAAGGATTATTACTTGTTATATTTACCATTTAGGGATAATTACTGTCGTGAGATTATGTTTTAAAACTTATTTACTGTTGTCGTGGTTTCATTAACTTATCTTACAAATATAGAGTATTGATATATTAACTATAATTGTATAAAAGGGGATAGAGAAAAAAGGGAGACTTCGGCTTATGTTAAATTTGAATAAGTCATTAAATTGCTTTTTGGCAATTTGCTGTGTGTTGTTGCTCGTTGGTAACGTGTAAATAAAGGAAATTTTTTTTTAAGTTTAACTTGCAGTCGTGACAAGTACAATTGCTGTAATATTGGAAGGTAATAGCAATAGCTGCTAATAGGATGGCTAATCTACTACACAATGAATACACATACAAATGAGACTGCAAATAGTGGGTTAAATAAGGCAATGCTTCAATTCTTTCTGTTTATTCGATGCTAAATTGTAATTCTATGATAGAATTTTGTCTGTTTAGACAAAAATAGAAAAGAATTTTTCAAATTTTTTGACGTAGATTTTGTCTGGCATCAAAACCAAATTTATTAAACTAAGTTGATATTCTTAATATCTAGAAGATATCTATCGGAGTTACGAGAGATCATGCGTGTATTCTATCATGATTCAGTGCAGTACCAAATTAGCTCAAGATTTAAAATTATACGGTTGTACGAAATTGATTCAATTAAATGTTTAATTTTACAATCACTTGTTCAATTCATCCGTTTTTGTATAATTCTATAATTTTAAATCTTAAGCTTACAATGAAACGTTTAATTCATCTATTTTAGTACAATCCGATAATTTCGAATCTTAGTAAATAGCCTATTCTTAAATAGATTGTAAAGAACTGGATTTTTTGCTTTGTGATAGAATCAAAGGATGTTCGAATTCTTCCTAATCAACAACTCATTCTAATCGAGCCTTGATGCCTTAATAATTTATGTAATGTTATCTGAAAGTGTTGAATCAAACTATTTTCTTTTGGTTTCGTTTAACATAGATTACAAGTAAATTCAGAATCAATCTCCAACATTAATTTTAAAACATTTTAAAGGATGATCAAAAGAATCACATTCGAGTAGTGCTAATCATATCCACAGATATGACAAACTTGTAAATTGTTGTAAGATTTGAATGCAGTCTCCATCTGCGAGCCAATTACGAAACTGCTTTGGAGACAGATTCTATCTTATCTATCAAAATAATTGAAACTAATAAATCTATGAAATTTTTGAGATTTGGAAACAGATCATGCCTCAATGTGCGTACTTTAATGACAATTTACATAGCTTGCCTTTTTATTTACATTCTTACTGTATTCGTACACATTATATCATTACTGATGTAGAATGAGCTGAATGAGCAATTTCGATACTCGTATTATCGCGTGCTAGTAAATTCCATCTGCTCATAAAATCTTGTCAGCTGCTTTATTGAATAGAATATGATCATTAACTAGTACAAAGAAATGAACATTATATTACGGCCTGGTTCAAAATAATACGATGCTCAGTAAATAGGCTTAGATATTAATTATAAGCAGATACTCTGTGCAAAACATGTATATCCTAAAATATTTACAAAATTGGAGATTAAGTAACGAAATTTGAAGCTTTGTAAGCATCATAGATACAAATATAGGCAATGCATCAAATGGTAAAGTCAAATACTAAAGTTAAGGTTTTAATTAGGCCTAATTTACGTATTAACAATCGCGTTAGTATAATTTAACTCTCTCATCCTAGGCAGGACAAATTGTCCTATTACTATTTCAAGATTTTAGGTCGTACAAACTAAGGCTAAAGCCATTAATATGTGTGAGCAAAATAATTCGAAGATATGAAAGCACAATTACAACGAAATCTTAATATGGTGGTGATTCATTAATTTGACGAAAGAGAGCTGATACAGCCTTTACATTTGAGTAAGCATTACAATTAGAGGCTATTTGTGACCTTATTGCCGAACATGTAATATATATTCCGGATATGCAGCGTTGTCGTTAAATATTACAAATACTGTAGGATTTAACAAGCTATTCACTACAGAATGAATTCTTTTATTCTGACTGCCTGGAATATATTGCAAATTACGGACATTACCAGAAGTATTGCAGATGCCGGTAAGTACGCGAGCCAGAATTAATGTACGCCCATAGCCGACGGTAGTGGATGGTTCAGTGGCGAAGTAAGTTCCATTTCCTAATGCGGATCCTAATCGTAGATATATTGGACAAAATTTAGTAAATTGTTTCTAATTTGAGCCTACATAAATGAGTGTGCTCTACTCATCTATCAATGCTAACATTGATAAAAACTCTTATTTTAAGCTGAACCTACCATGAGATTTACCGGAGTAATCTCGATCAAAGCCGGATTTGCAAATACTATTCACATTATTCTCATTCGTCCGGTGGAATAATCGCCTTTCAATTACAGTTCCTGGCTGATATTGCTGTACGTCTTGTGTTACTTCTGCTTTCTGTAGCTGATACCTCCGGTACAGATTCCTATTTTGGATACGCTGTAATTTTATTAGATCTATTCCTTTAGCTCGCACTAGTTCGGAAATTTCTTGTATTTCTGCCTGATTCCTCACTTCCACTATTAATTTCAGTTCATCTTTCTGGGTATCTGCTTCAGCTGATTGCCAACTTGCTGGTAATGAATCTATTGATATATCAAATTCATTTGGAAAGTTAGATAATTTAATATAACAGAATTGAAACATTCGTAAGCCAGATTTTAAACTATCTGTAGGGTCTGTTGGATTTAATAAGAACTGCATTAATTAATTAATCTGCAACGATATATTCGACTTTGACATCGGTGCACACTAACAGGTTGCATTAATAATGTACAAGATTTTAAATTAGTCAAACTCAAGGTCATGATTCGCAAAATCAAAATTAAGGGAAATTTTAACTGATCTTAACTAAAAGAAATCTGCCAAAATCTTAAAACAATCTAAATGCAATTTTTGATTCGCAAAATCAAAGTATGTTTAAACTTCATGAAATGCTGGAAGAAAGATAATCTAATATTACACGCTATTTAGTAGCTTGACTATTACTCATTAAGTAATTAAAACTATTGATACGGTATAAACAATATGCGAGGTCTCGACATTGTAACATATGAGTAATTACATGTTACGATCAAAGGGAGACTATAGAATGCCATCCTAAACTACGCATTTTTTTGCAATCTTAGCCATTGTAAATTTTTTTTTTTATTTCAATATCATGTTTAAATGATTTCGAAGTATCGTAAATTCTTCCAGCAGCAAGATTGAGACCTTTGCACAACCAAAATCTAGAAAGTGATCATTATTTTGAACTTACTATTTAACCTACTATAAGTAAATTAAAAGTGATAGGAGATATACCCAATTTTTCCAATTCGTTTACGTATAAAGTTAAATAGCAGTATGATCGTAGTTTCTATGAATATGTGAAGCTGTTTTCTATTTTGTGCCTTGATAATGAGTGCATAGCAGATTGAAAAGTTTTGAGACAAACTCGTGTCTTCACTAAATGATTGCATATGGACATTTACGTGCTACGTTAAAGCGAATAGTTAATCAAGGCTTATTTTAAGAGTAGGCGGATTGACTAACCTTCCAATGCAAACTTGCGCCAGATTGGATAAGACATTCCAGTATCCACTGTAATTGCCATCCTGATAAAATCGATTGATTTACCATCTAAAATAACGTTTGATTTTGTTTTATCGTTCAAATATGCTTGATAATCTATTTCAAGCTGATAATTCATTACAAGATCAAATTGATGCACAGCTTGTTTGATATTGACATTCCATTGAACAGTTTCCAAAAGTTCTTTTCTGTTCTCCTCCATAGCTGACTGATATGTTTTCAGGCTGGATGATTTTTGAAAATTGCTATAGGTTGTGAAGATGTCATTTTTATAGCCGTAGATTTGCAGTTGTTTTGTATTTGTATTTCTGATCATTAAGGTACTGTGGTGGCACCACCAATCTTGAATTAGTGCATGCCAAGTTTCTTCATCATATCCAAGCATATCTTCTTCAGCGAAAACAACACATGTCCAACTTGGAGCGTAACTTGCTAATAGTGATTCAATTTGCTCAATAATTTCATACCGACTAGCTACAATGGTAACATTTTTGCCAAAATTGTTGTAGGAAAATGGCCGAGTTATCTGCCATGCGATTGTATAATCTGAATAAGATTTGTGTGCATTCTCGAACTGGTGCTGTGCCCAACTCGCAATCTCATATGCTAATTCTCTATTTCCAGTGATAAAATCAATACGTTGAAGACTAATTCCTGATTTCTTATGACTATCTAAGAATAGATAGATAGCTTGAATGAGTAATTTGATATCTTCTTCGGTGATTTCTGTACTGGCAAGAGGACATGATATCGACGTGTTTTCATTAGCATTGACGCAAGCTAACAAAGAGCCGAAATCATCAATCAGGCCATATGGACAAACTTTAAAAATGCTACAGTCACTTTGTGTGCTTTTATCCACATGAATACTCTCTAAGCAATGGTTTTTGACAGTGGAATCTAGTCTTGCTGATAAATGATCTTCTGATTGATGAAGATGGCAGATATGAGTTGTATTAATGACTGCTGATGTTTGTACAGCATGCATTACTCCAAAACAGAAATTGCAAGATAATTTGGCATTGCTTTCTGAGGTTACTGTTAATAGTGTATCGAGCTTTTCCTCTTCAATTTTACCCGGAATTTTCTTGCATTTAGTTATCTGATCAACCAATCCATTATCTAGTTGATTCGTAGAGAAGTTACTCTCTTGGCAATATGAATTCAGCTCAATCTGAGCAGCATCGATCGATTTCGTGTACGCATCGTAGATGTCTTGATCCAAAATGACAAAAGCAATGACATTCAAACTTGTATCAGCATTTTTTAACAAATATTTACAAGTGGTGGATATCATTTCTCTAGCAAGATCTTGCGCTTTAATACCAACGTGGCCAGCACCAATCGCTGGTATTGCCATGGATTGCATAGACTGTTTACTAGCTTTTCGTAAGCATTCGCCAATTTTAGGCTTTAACCACTACCATGAAAAGTTTCAGTATCAGGATTGAAGTTTAATTAAGATCACTTACTTATGCAAATGAATCAGCTTACCGATAAGTGCCTAGAAGAACTTAGAAATGGAATATGGTAGACGTATTGACATCCGAAGTGAACGCCACTTGTGCAACCTATACTTGTCGTACTTAATGTATATAATTTCCTCTGACATTCAAGTCGGTATGCAGCGCCACCAGATTGATATAAAGCTGATGCAATTTGTCCAGCGCTATAATTCCATAACATTATAGAATTTACGATGACATCGAACTAATGTACAAGATACCGAAGAGAGAAATATAAAGATTTAAATTTAGTTTATTCTATAGAATCTATCCTAGCCGCAATTCAACCATTCAGCGTATAAATCTTCGTGAAATCTTGTCGATACTTACATTATTACTTATAGCTTGTAGTGGCCTTTTCAAAACAGTAATAACTTTACCATTGAAATCAATCTTTTGATTATCATCTATAATTGGTACGTTACACGACCAGCTTGAAAAGGTTGACGGTGAGAGTTTATTAAGCAATAGCATCGAGGACATTTTGCTAGGCAGGTACGTGAATGAAGATGCCTGTTGTGAAAAAGATGTATTATTATACTTCAATGAAGGGCACGTTACCCGTAGTCCTCGATTTACTTTCTTCCACGCTGGAGCACGAAGTTTAGAATTCTCCTTGGTTATCCTATTATAAATCAGGCGTACCACGAGATTGAGAACGTACACTTTAAAAAGAATCACACAAAATATTCTTGATAATTTACAAGTCATTCTAAATATCCTCCTATTTAGAAGATTATTCTTGATGCTATTTATTTACACGTATTTCTAGATATATTTATTGATTAAAATATGCTCGATTGTTTACAGATCATTCTAGACATACCTGCGAATTTGGACATCAGCAACGTCAATGGAGAATTGCAGGCTGTCTTTTAAATTAGCCAGTTTTCCTTTATCCTTTTCTGAAATAACGTAGCGTAAAATTTTTGAAAATTGACTCTTTCCAACCGAAATTGATTTGCAAACCACTGGAATGGAACGAATTTCCGCATCAATCTGACTAATGGCTGTCGATATTTGGCTATGGCGATATTTGATTATTACTTTACTATCCTCACTGCTACTTTCTCCCTTGTTTGCTTCAAATAAAACTTGACATTGATAGCGATTCTGTATTGCCATTAAATCATCGTTACAAAAGCGTTGAAGAAATTCAACTTTTAATAATTTCATTTTACCAATCACAAATTCATCGAATCGATCGTCAAAGGATGTATGATGATGGGCATTACCCTTATATACCATTAGATACTTCTTAGCTTTACTGACAACATAGTCTATTTCATTAAGCACTCCTACAACGGTAGTATTAACAGTCTTATCGATGGTATTAATGCAAAAGTCGACGAAAACTCGATGATAGTGTGCAAATTTATGAGTGAAATATTGATGAACATTAGTCCAATCTTCCAGTAGATTTTTTTTGTAATGAAGTTTAAACTCTTTGGTTTGATACTGTTCTTTCAGGAAGGCAACTGCTTTATCGTATTCCTCATTATTGATTCCAATAACAAAGACTGCCTCATTATCAAGATAGACTCCAGCTAAAATTCGTTTATTTCGCAAAATTCTATTGATATCATTGATTAAATGAGAATACTGACGTAGGAAAGCGGATAAATTGGCCGATATACCATCTTGACTATTTTTAATGGCTGCCAGCTGTTCCCTAGGTGCTTTAGGATTATTCATGTTCGTCATCAGCGTATACTGATTTCCTGTAGCTTTTACATCGGCCCTGAAGCCCATACATAGTAACTTTTCTTGTAATCCAAGTTGCCGAAGTAACACAACTTCTGCCGATGACATACAAACTTTCTGATCACCTTTTAGCTTGTTAGTCTTTGTAGATATTTTCTCTTGTGAATATTTAGCTCTAACACGATCGTGCCTTTCTACAATTCCTTTACTGTTATTGATCGACCTAGCTTTAAAATCTTGAGTTTGTCCATGTCTAACCGATTTCGATTTATCAATAGATTTTCTTTGCTGTTTAGCTGATACTTTTTGATCGTGGCTGATTTTCGATTGATCAAAATCAGTCGCTAAAAGGTTGTCCAACGTTTCCGATAAGTTCGACGATTCTACAGTTAGGTCTTGATGAACCGACTGTTGGTCAACTAGTTTTTGTTTTCCTTTATTGCCGGATACTTCTGTATCTGCCAGGTCTAGCTTTGTATCACATTTCCTATCTTCATTATTAGAACTATCATTAACTTTAAATTTATCCTTCTCAAAAGCGTCTGTTCTCTCTTCAATTTTCTGAGCTGTAGCATCCCCTTCTACGATGGTTTTGTCCAAATCCAGAATATCTGTATTTATTTCATCTACAAGAAATCTGACATCATGATCGATCTCTTCCCTTCCTTCAAGATCCAATTTAGATAAATCTGGAATGGAATGATGACTGGCCACCTGGGTAGATCCATCTATGATTATTGATTTATCATCTTTACCATCACTTCCGGCTTGATTTTCACTATCTTGTACAGTACCAAGTTTGCCTACATGGTCATTATCGCTGCTTGTTTCGCTCACATCCTTTTGACATTTTTCATTAGCGAGAATGAGCTTCGTTTTTTGATTAGAGTTATTATCGATGTTACTCTGGATATCTTTAATCATACCGTCCAAAGACTGTGCAATTAGATTATTCTCTGTGATTAATTGGTTTGATGACTGTCCTGTCTTGACATTCATCTCATCAATATTCTTAGCAGAATCCTTTAAACTTGTAGGCATAGCTCGAAAATTTGGATCTAAATTGACGTCCTTATATTCAGTCTCTATAGCCATTAGTATTGCATCTTTTACATCGACGTTTGGGGTTTTCATTTCAGTATGTGCTGTTTTCTTCATAACAGTGTCCATTGCATCTAATTGCGAGTCTAATAGTTTACCCTTTACCAACTTTGGGGCATTACTTCGATCCTCGATGCTGTTTTCTTTTAAAGATGGTAGCAAATTATCCCTATTTTTCAAGTTTTCTACACCACTTCTTGCTTTCCCCAAGTTTTCATCTCCTGTAAAAATAGCGTTACGATCTTGACAAGTGGCCATTTCAGTACAAGTCTGAGCCAATGTTTGGCCGCCCAAACTGTTCGTACCCTTGACTTTATCCAGCCTGGTTGTAGTATCGGTTATTTCGTTTATTATGTCATCTATGTAGGTTTCGTGTGTATGTTTTTGCTTAGTAGTCTCTTTGGATATTTCCCTACAAGCAATATTTTTTCCACTAGTACTGTTTTCATTTTGATCTATTACATCATCTAATAAATGCAGCGGTATCGAAGGAGAGATATCCTTATCACTGTTGTTCGTGCTGATATTCCCTGGTTGATGAATCATTTCCTTACTTAATATATCATTTGATGTTTGTCTTTGAATTTCTTCTTTTTTAGTCATATTTTCTATAAGTTTAGGATCTTTCTGTTGTTTATTTTCGTTTTTTTCATTTGCACCAGTATAACCCTTACTTTGCTCGAACACATCCTCCAACCACCTTAAAGAAAACTCATTCTCTTTTCCGTCACTATTACCGCTAACCCCACCTAGAAAAGGTCAAAAATAACCAGCATAGTTATTAAAAAATAGATGTGATGCACCATAAAGCATCCATTAATATGTTGTAGCATCCTTGCAAGATCTCACCTGATTTATTCATCATTGACGAATTTTTTTAATTAGATTAATCGCGACTGACAATCCTACTGGCCAACCTTAATAAAACTGATCTTTAACTAACTCGCCATAAAAGATCTATCCTCTCCTGTCGTCTTCTTTCTGATGGTACCGTCTATTGACTAACAATTGAATCTTGTTGTCTTATTATATTGCCATCCAAAGTAAATGATAGTATCTACAAATGTCTACAGTACTGTCCGTACTAGTCCGCGAACTTAGTCCTCACAAGTTTCTAATTTTCAACAGAAACTGCGCTGTTCACATAGTACAGTTAATATTGAAACGTTAAAATATATATCTTGAACAATCACTTGATTAGCAAGGGGTTTGAAAATTTCTTTATGCCAGCACCAAACACATCTTGGCTACTGCCAAGGTGTTAAATATAGTTTCACACAAACAGTTTCCAAAGAAATCTCTGCTGGCAAGATGGACTTTGATATTCGACTATAATTCGTGTTTAATAGCTAGTGTCTAGCTTTTATTCTCATCTTTATTACTGCCAGTTATAAATAAGACGTTGATTGCCGCTATCAACATCATCTATAACGATCGATCAAGCACTGTAAAACTTAACATGGCTAACTGGGAGAACAAAATATGGGGATAGCAAAAATACAATGATTTATGACGCTTCTTAGTGAAAGTAAAATACCACCAATAGCAGATAAAATGAGATCTACGCTATCTATGCAAGTGATTTTAATGGATAGCACCACTGTATATGGCTCATATTTTAACGATATAATTTGGAATAATGTAAATCATAAAATCAATCAAACATTACTGCACTCCATCATTAGGCTTGAATTCCACTAAAGCAGTCACTTCGCTCACGATCAGAGAAGATTAATTAATATTTATTTAAAAAATGTGCCGACGTATGCACATTCCTTGAATAATTATTTACTACAATTAAGCACCATATATAACGCTTGTTATTCATTATGCACCATGCTTGTTATTCTTTATTCACCATGCTTGTTATTCATGAAGTAATTCTCTAATTTCTTTTCTTTGTTTTTGATCTTTTACTTTCCTCATTATTTGACTGTTATTCAAACTTAAACATAATAAAACCAAATGATGAATTATAGAACGGTAGTGAGACATTATCTTCTTTAGCTTTGCTGAATCAATCGATCAAGTTTAGACACGAATGTACGTTAGAATCGAGCAATGGACTGCAGAATAGCTATTCAATAGTATCCTCTTTGCATTCTCAATTGAATGATCAAGCTATAGCACGATTAAATCCTGAAATGGATTACAGAATAGCAATAGCATACCATCAATCTTCGCTTTTCGCAATGAAAGATCAAGCTTAGACAAAATTAAGTAATGGGCTGCAGAAAAGAAATATAAAGCCTTCCTATTTTGCTTTTCTTATCTTAATCAATTGATCGAACATAGATATAATTAAATCGAGGAGCGGATTACAGAATAGTAATATGATACTATTCTCTTTTGCTTTACCGAATCAATGGATCCAACTTAGACTAGATAAAACCGAGTTATACTAAAGGCTTGCACTTTTACTCTTTGTTAATGCTTATACTATTGAAATATATAAGTAATTAAATGATTTGAAGATTTAGTAAAGGGGTATTTGAAGCATTTTGCATGAGTTGCCAGTATGTAAATGGATAACTCATCTATGCAAATTTAGGTTATCTTAGTCTAAAGATTTCTATAAATGTAAAATTCGATTTAGATGTAGGAGAAAATGTTCGCGCTTGCTTGGAAATAAATTGGGATATTTTACACTGCGATGGACAGCTTTTGTTCGAGAATTAGGATACTAGTCATAGAAACGATTTAGTACGGGGTTTCTGAGGGTTGTAAACGCTCAGAGATTTATTTAACTCACTGCAGTACAAATTTGAAGGCATTGCGACTAACAGGAGCTCATAAACCGAGTCATCTACTTTTTTACAATAGTAACTAAAATTGATAAGTTAGAGTGAGAATTTAGCCAAATAGAATGAATTATTAACTTGGCAGTAAGCGGATAAAACTGAATAGGCGACTTTAATTAGGTTAAAATTACTAGCTTATCATTACCTGTAGAAGTAGGTACTCAATAAAGAATTGCTTTTTAATTCTCATCCCGCTCTATACTAAATGTAAGAGATCCGATCTACAGAGCTCCCTAGTATTGAAATTAAAATAGGTTTACCCCAGCAGATCCACCTCTATAGCATGACTTTTGTCAGGAACTCCTGCCGGTAAAATTTCAACGAATAGCAAATGTTTAACTTTTGATTTTTTGCAATTCAAATTTTTCCAGTAGGAGTCCCTGTTTTAGTGTAGATCAGTTTAATATGTAGTTTAGACAGGTACATGAGATATTATAGCCCAATTTGACTCAGTTCTGATCATATTTTGAGCGTAAAGTGTCGAAAATCAGGGTTTCTTAACATTTATAGTACAGAAAATAAAATAAAGTAGTCGCAGCTAATCTAATCATAGACATTGAAATTATCTGAGAATTTCCTGAATAACCACAGCATAAAAATTAAAACTGAATTTATTTTTGTTGCTATCTAAATAGTGAATAGTTGGCTAGCTAGCAATGGAGTCCATCGCTATGCCTTGAAAGTACTCATACAAATTCATATTCAGAATTAAATTACGGGCAACTCGAAAGACATTAACACAGATTTAAAAATGTCATAACATTTTAAGTCGCTAGGTTGAATAATTAGATGTATAGATTTCACAAGTGTTAGTTGCTTATGTTCGTCATAAAATTTTGAAATAACCTTGACCATTTCTTGAGATAATTCGTCAATATTAGTACTAAATTCAGGACTACCATACATGGGGATTGCTATCGAGTTTATCGAATCTGAATGGGCTTTCTCAAGGCATTTTTTGATTCGATCAATGAGCCACTAAAATTTACAATCGGTTGTAAACAAAATTAATATATGAACTTAAATTACGAAATATATTTCCTAGGGTCTTACCGATATTGGCTGATTGGAGCTTAAAAACCGAATATGATAAACCTTCTTGCAGCCAAAGTAAGTTCCTTTAGTAATTCCAATTTCATCCACAGTCAGACGTTGCAAATTTTGGTAGTAATCAAGCTGATACTGGAATCCACCAAGGCGATGTAATGCCTTTCCAATTTCTCCTTTATGGTGCTTTTCCAGTTTTACGTAGTTAACGATAGCTTGTGCCTAAGAATGATTGCATAGACAGTAATCATTAAATGAACGCTACTCTTGAAATTTACTTCATCATACATACTTCAATACCCTCTTTTTCAACCTTTCCTTTTACTAATTTAATAATTTTTGAGATTTTATCATGGTCATTAGTAGCCGATGATAGAGAAGAAACATGTACTGCAGGATTAACTTGAGAAGGATTTTCGGTTGTTTTAGAATTTGTACCCTCCTGACAATAAGTGATCCTACTTCAATTGCCAAAACACAGAATAATAATGTTTTCCTCATGTTGCATATAACTATTTTTTGTCTATCCATAGGCACTATACATCATTGATTAATTATTAGCGGAAATTAGCGATATCCTGTTGACTTCTCAAAATCGAATATTAAGTGGATGTACGGTTGTCTTCCTCCAATTATATATATATTATAAGTATACTATAAAATTAACGCTAATAGATAACTATTTCTTATTATTGATGGAATAATTTATTGCTAATTATGGACTAAGATTAGCGATACCCTACTTACTTGTTACAATCATCGCATGTTAGAATGAAGGTACTTTCTTTTTCATCTTGTAAAGTATCCAGGTTAACTTTGCCATCAACCATGTTTTGACCTATTTCACTTTCAAACTTCGTTTCGCTACCTCCTTCATTAGCTCGATTCTGGTTAATTGATTCCTTGATATTGTATGAAGCAGTAGCTATACAGAGTTTTCTACGTTCGATTGAAAAAAAATTGATAAATATTGACTCACTGTCCCAATTGAAGAAGAACTGGGGTTTATTCTAGCAATTCAATCGCATAATATTTAGTCCACATACTTCTTTTACGGTATAGTAACATTTAATATAAACTACGGCTATTGCTAGCATCCAGCATTTCTAAGGTTAAACTGCAAGCGAAGTTCCCACTCGATATGGCTACTATTGATCATAGCAACAAAATTTTGAGTTTTTCATCTTTTAAATTAGCACTTTTAAAAATGTACTTTAGCATTATATACGTATAGTATCGTTTACTTGACTAATTAGATTCATTGAACAGCAAAAATCTCAATTCGTACTATAAAATATGTCGACAAGTCAACATCTATAACTAAACGTAACAAATGCAACTGTGAGCTACCAACCGTTCACATTCGTTGGGTAATGCGGTAATTAAATTTTCATGTTTGTCTTGTGTACGATCCATTTCGAAATTGCGACCAGAAATATTTTTTAATGTTATTTTTTTATTCAAAACTTCACTTATTTCTACCTCTGAACTTCTTTGAATAAGTTCTTCCATCTTTTGATAAATATTTGTTGCATAAACTTGACTACATTTAATTAAAATATTCGCTTCCTTATTAGTGGTCTTCTCAATTTGAATATTGCAACCGTACGCTTTTTCTAGTAATTGGAGATCTTCTCGCCAATACAATTGCTGATTTATTGCATTTATTAAGTGAACATGAGGTATTACGTATTCAACGACTTTATATTTATCTAAATGGTTCTGAATAATGTGGGTTGCGTTAGAAACATCAGCTCGTTTTCCAGCGACGAGAATCTTACATGAATCAAAATTATTACTGTATACGCTTTCCAGATAAATATCATAGTTTCCAGCTAAATGATTTCTTAATCCATGCATAAATATATGAAAATCGGATCTAACGAATAGGCCATCAACATTGACTGTGGTCGACTGGCAGCAAAACATTTCTCTCAATAAAGAAATAGCTAGATGATGGGCTTTTGCGTCTAAGGCAACAACAGATACCGATAGACTATCACCATGACGCATAATTCCAGCTTTGATACCATTAAATCGCAGATGCTTATTAGTTAGTACCTGCTTCTCATCATGACGAGCAATAAAAGTGGATAAAGGATGAGGCAGATTTTGACTGCTATTGCTAATAATGCAGTTAGTATAACTGGATAACATTTTCCCAATATACCCTTGATCTTTAGAGGGCATGTGAACGATTAATCGAAAATTTCCTTCAATGTGGATATATTGGAAATAGACATCGTAACCATATTGCTGCAACGATTCTTCTAACTTAGTCTCTTGAATGAGAAAATGAGCCGCAGTAGATAACTCGATTTCTAGTTTAACCCTTAATCCTTTGTTCATTGATTCTGATTTGATTGGATCAGAAATTCTTGAGTCTATATTATCCGTTGGAGATACAACTGGAAATTGGCTATTAGCTTCCCTATATTCTTCAGCACTTTGAGGCTTTACCTTCATGGTAGTTAATTTATCATCTTGACCTAAAATTACGTTGACAGATATATGGCTGGATCAATATCAAAACTTAGGAATTACTATTTAAAAATGCTTTGACTACAACAAATGTTATAAAAATTGCATAATACACAACTATATGTAATGATATACATCATAATTGTTCTAATAATTCAGATCTTATAATCACGAGAGAGTACAATACTCAAAATAGCCTTTTAAGAAATTGCCAGAAAGAAACTTGAAATATTTCACCTTATGCTTTAAAAATTGATATGTCTATAATGTCATTGCTAATGAGGCTAGAGAGTTCCTTACTGTTTTCTTGTGTTTTTGAATTGCAATCTTTAGATTTCTCAGTATTTTCAGTGTTATTGTTATCGCCAGAAACTTGGAAGACATTCGACTTATTTACGAAATCCGTGGATTTATCCTTTCTAAGATCACCAGATTGAATAGAGGATAACGAAGAATCTCGAGTCCAACGACGTGTTTTAGTCGCTAAGAGCCATTGGTCTCGACGATTACTTTTAAGTTTTTGTTGCACGCTGCAAATAACTTTATTGATCAAAGTTACAATATTAGGCTTCTCATGTATTTCTAATGTTATTCGTTTGCCCTTGATAATATTATACTTATTCAGACACAACATGGCCATAACGGCACCCCATTGCCGTCGGTACACTACGATTCTGCATAGTTGAAAAATGATGTAATGATAATTTTTAATTGCAGATCCAAGCCGTTTGTGCATGATCAATTCACTACAGTATACAGTATACTTGTTACGGGCAATGTAAATATACACTAATTGTGATTTTAATCTTAAGGACAAAATCAGTCTTACATACTTGTATTGCTGTAAAGTTAACAATTACTGTAACAGTTCTAGGTGAAATTATATTAATATCGAACATCCAAGAAACCAGCTCTTTGCAAAGCTATAACCTCGATTACATTAAGTTTGCAAACCTAGTACAGATTATGCTATGAAATACACATCCTATAAACTTCAGTACAGATCATAATACACTACATGTCCTCAATCATCATGTAGGAGAGCAGAGCAAATCAGCAACGATCTACAATTTGATTAAAAGCTTTTATCAATCAACTTCTTACACTTCGCCGGATCTTGCCCTAATGAGATCATCTACTCTTCCAACTTGGCTAAAGATGTGCATTAATTCTATCTAAAGGAAGAAAATAAATGACATGTAATTATGAAACATTCTCAATTTAGGCGTAATGTAGTATTTCTAAGTATTCGAAATTCCATCATGCAAGAATTTTTACAAACTTGTGCTATTGCCTCTGGTATATTAATGACTCTGACAAGCGTTCTTAATTCGGTCAACTCTTTTAATTCATCGTCTGAAAAAGCTTTTTTGGCTTCTTTGACTTCATTTATTCTTAATATAGAGATGACGAATGGTGTTTCAAATTAGAATATTCCTGTATCAACCGATTAAGTATATAGCCTAACTTGCAAAATTGGTACTCTAGAGTAGATGAAAGTTAAAACTCACCTATTTTGTGTTTCCGTATCATACATACAACCAGATCTACGCAATCCTAAGGCTTTCATTTGATCATAAACTATCTTTTCCATGCCATTTCTGATATTTAGGGGCAATTCTGGCGGTAAATAAACAGTTAAACCTAACTTGCTTTTTCCAACTTTGATTCCTCTCAAATTTATGTTCAACTGGATGACTTGGTTTCTTTCTTCTACCAGTATTTGTCTATTTCCAGATAAAAGAAAACGTGCAATATATATGAATACTTGTAGTGCCAAGCAGCTCTTTCAGTACAACATTCTATGTAAAACAGAATCAATTTTAATTCTGGTAAGGTATATAATCGCACACAAGACTATTTCTAGATCGTTGATCCCGACTTTGAATATTATTAAATTCTGGTTAAACCGGCGATTAAACCATCGGATAACATTAGTTTATTATATATCATTATCTCAATTTGTTAGTACAGCAATATGTACGACTTGAAGTGATAATAAAACTTTTAAAATTATTTAACTACTAAATTTTATACACTATGCTTACGCAAATCGCCAATTTTCTTTTCCAATGCCAATATAGTGATAAAATATAATTTGGGCTCGATTTATAATTTTACAGACTTCATATTCAAATGCCTAAAGATATTAATCAATGTGTTTGAATATAATAAATTTATGAGGGCATTTGAAATTGATCGGTAACAAAATTGCTTCCATTTTTTTTTTATTACATAACATCACTTTTTGCAAAGCTACCTTCTACTTTACAGCGGTAAGTGCAAGGCATTGAAACTTTATCGAAAGTAATCGTTAATAAATTTGAACAGAAACTACCAACATAAGAAAGATGGTTCACTTTATTATAGTCGATTAACTGAATTAATTTGAAGGAAAGAGTGAATTAAAACTCTTAGTATAGATACTCTCATACTCGTAACTTGTCAAATTGATGACATAAATTAATATAGTAGAGCAATTCATCAAGTATCATCATCTGAGTCTATTTTTAATACCACATTACCTCAAGAACACTAGATTCAATTCCACAAACGTACAAGCAATGATTTGGTGGTAGTCTATAATGTATGAGAAAATAAGAAGTTTTTGAAATATTTACGCCATTGAGTGAGTATGAAGCAGTCTTTAAGGATAGTACTAAGCGTTGCAGGGGTTAAAAGTAATCTGACTACTAACAAATTGATAATAAATGCACTGTTATAATAAGCAATCTTTCGCATCTGAATATGTACTGCTAAAAGCCACAGTAATACTGTCTAAACATATGTATACAGTATAATCATGGAAAGCATAACTTGTAAGCTGGCTGTAGCTCCAGGAGACTATTAGAGATTTGATGGAATATAAATACTTTATGTGCTATAATTCAACATCATCATTTCTAACGTATTCTAGCTGAAAAACTTTCGAAACAATTTAAATATTCTACAAGATTGGATTGATTAGTTATAGCAATCTTATGCACGCAACACTACCGTGGATTCGACGGCTGAGTAAAGGCAAATCTTGGGAAAGCCATTTACCAATATTGAAGATGGCGTTAAATCTTGATTTCAATCTTAAAAGGTTAGCAATTTTAGAAATTGTACATTAAGAAAAAATAATTTACGGATGAAAAATAGCGTAACGATAACTCAGCTTAAGCTAAGGGAATCATTAGGAATCGTTAGATTGAGTTTTTTATCAAGTTCTAAACAGGCTTTGAATACTATAACCCCTGCAGCGTGCATAAATTTGCATGGGGCTTTTTTATTTTTGATGGCCTTTGATACTGACTGGCTAGTTGTGCTCTTAAATAGAGTCTATGGGTTGGTCCAACAATCGAAATAGGTTTTTTTTAACCCAATTTAGACTCCACCTTATGCAGTATGCGTGCTTTTAAGACTACTCTATATAAGAATTACAATTACCTCTAAGGTCTACATTAAGTAACTCCTTGAACTCGTTCTTACCGAATAGAAAGATATTGTACTCATTTTTCGAGTAGCCAGTCTGTGTAAATAGAATCTTTTTTACAATAATAATTAAGGCTAATCGAGCCCCAATCACTTTTGTCACATTTATATTGGCACTTTTGTTTGATATCACACCATATGCAGCATTGTATTATTTGTGCACCAAATGAATAGAATGGGTAGTACCTCAAATTGTGACAGAGAAGATTATGAGGCTGATTGAGAATAGTTTTTCAGGGTAAGACTAGTTATAGGGTAGGCGATTTATCATGATTACCATAACAATTACTAAAAATAAGGCCTAATCAGTCAATTTAGGTTTGAATAGCTCCGATTGATCGTGCTATTTAGGCATTACAGAAGTTATGATATTATGAAATTAATATAGGCTTTTAGTCTGCATTTCGAATTAAAATTATACCTCTCGACGATCTTGAGCAAATACTTCGTACTTTCGAATGGAGCAGAAGTTTTGTATAATTGATCAATTTCATGATTAATTCATGAAGCTTAAAAATTGAGCTGGATAGATCATTCGAATTGTAAGCGCTACAAATTTATTGGGTACCTTAAATTTCGCCGTCTACTCAAAGTGTCTATCACTATTTCACTAAAGAAGGCAAATTTCCCCTACTTATTTACTGTAAATACAGTTTACATTCTAAAATTAAATAATTATAGAATAATGTTGTAAATATTGACCGCCAGGATAACCTTAATAAAATAACAACCTTCGCTTACCTACAATGCTATAGCTTCTAAGTAATTTTACTTAGAAGAACTTCTTCTATTACTATAATTCTTCGAGAGTAAAATCGTAATAGTAATGTAAATGTTTCGGTATATTCTGATTACTCCTGGAAAAAAAATTAATTATTATGTCCCCTACTGTAAGCATTTAGTATCAATGCTCTTAAAACTAGGAGAATTCTGTACTGTAAAGTTACTACTTTCGATAGATCAAAGACTACAAGACTACTCTACATCCGTAACTCAGCTAAGATTCACAATAACGAATAGATGAAGTAGATATATCATAAGTTTAAACAAGTAATAGAGATAGCATTATTGATAATTGATGAATTGTAATTATAGCTTAGTTATGAAAGACGTAATGACTAATTAAGTAATTCTAATTTTAATTCTATTACGAATAGAATGTATTTTATGATATCATTGTTTTCAAATTTTACATTGATTTAATGCAAAATCAACATTAGTTAAAAGATGAATCACAAAATTAAGACTAGCATGATAATAATATTTCCTTCAATTCTTAATAAAAAAACAACTTTTTCTTATATCGCGAAATGATATAAGAATTATGACTTCAAAAGCAACGATACTAATGTAAAAGTAACTTTTTAAAGTCAAATATGCTAGCAATCATATACTGGTTCTGACAAACGTGAATACCAATGTTGAACAACTTGAATGCTATTGAGATGTAAATGAAATAGGCAGTCTATCCATAACTCACGTTCCATATACAATTTTTTACGATGTTTAAAAATTGATTTCAAAAATTTTCTTTAAATTAACGTCGTCCAAGCTGCGAATTAATACTGCTACCAGCACTGTCTATTCTAGGATGTTAGTAATTAAAAGTATTACGACATCGTATGATAATAAACGTATGAAAAATAGTCGAGTTATTCCATTGCCAGTTTAGTCTAATCAATCAAGCTATGAGTATCTACGTGTAAGCACTGCTCTTATTTACGTTGGGATAGCTCCTTCTTTGATGATGCAATTTTGATTTCTTTCAACTATTTATCAAAGGCAAGATAGGATAACAACTAAGAATGGTTTAAGAGACAACTGTTCAATACTAGTATATGCTTACTTTTATTTCAATGAACAAATGATCAATTTCTATATGAAATTATAAAACATTCTACAATACTTCTGCAGTGGCTAAACCATATTCAACTTACAATATAGAAGAAAAACACATCTATTACGGAATGATATTACCTAAATTATAGAGTTTAAGGAAGTATTGTTATACTGAGTATTTTAGCATTATAGTTGGTTGTGAACCTTTCAGAAGGGTAGTTCTTAGGTGTTATAGTAGCAGCGCTATATTCTTACTAGTTCTTTAGGCAGACTAGGGTAGTAATCAATAGAAACAACTGAAAATAAGTGCTTTACGATAGACGAGCAAACTTGCCAGAAAGTATTCTGTGGCAACATCAGTTTATTAATTCTTGCATTTATAAGAGAATTTGTCTTTTATTCAATTTAAACACCAGTCGTCGAATTAACCATGATATGCTTCAAATTTACTTACTGATTGGCACTCATGGAAATAAGACATTAAAAATAACTACTTAGAAATTTTAGTTGCATCCTAGTCTAACCAGATAATTACGTAACTCTATCATCTCATTATAACTATGTTTTGAAAAATAGAACCTGCAAACAGAGTAAACTATATTCGCTCCTCTAAACTTCAAAATTTATTAACTAGATCTAGCATATCAATTAGTAACGATATATTATTGTAAGAAGGTCATGATTAGGTCAATGATTCAATTCGTAAAGAGTTTAAAACTGAATTAAGCTCTAATAGTCAAGTAGTTCTATTGGAAATTGCTATAGTTCAATCCTGATAGCATTTCGATAAAACATAATGTGCAATCAGCAGCAATTACAGTTGCAAAGCATCGCATTAATTGAAAACACTGTACACCTGCTAAATCTGATTTCTTAGAAGTTGATCAAATTCATAGATGTTTATTAAAGTAAGTATTTTATGTACTGCATCAAAGTTAGAACTATATTTCACTACTCATTCATAATATCACTGCATGTTTACCAATAAGTCAGTCACTAATCGGTACTAAATCATCTCGACGATTAAACAAGCAACTCAAAAGACATTATCACAGACTTTACAGCCTCATAGCAGTCTAATTTACTGGGTGGAATAATAAGATGGATAGATTGTAATGGCGACATTTGCTGATATTTTTCATAAAATTTGGAAATAATCATGACTATTTCTTGAGATAGGTTGTTGATATCAGAACAAAACACAGGACTGCCATACATTGGTATTGCTATGGAATTCATCGAGTCTGTATGGGCTTTTTCCAAGCAATTCTCAATTCGATCAATGAACCACTAAAAATTTACGATCGGCTATTAGTGATATTAAACAAGTGTTTCGTTAAACATAAGGCATCATAATTATTTTCTATACTTTACCGATATCGAGTGATTGAAGCCTAAAGATGGAATATGGTAAACTCTCTTGCAGCCAAAATAACAACCCTTACTGGTTCCAATTTCATCAATAGTAAGATGTTTTAAATTTTGATGGGAATCAAAACGGTACTCGAGCCCGCCAATGCGATGTAATACCTTTCCAATTTCCCCAATGTGATATTTTTTCAATTTTATGAAGTTAATGATAGCATCTGCCTATGATAATAATTGGAGGGACATTAATCACCTTCATAACATCATTAAATGAGCTTTATACTCAGAGTTCACTGTATGTACGTACTTTAGTACCCTCTTTTTCAAGATTTCCTTTTACTAATTTAATGACTTTATCGCTCCTATTATAACCATTATGGGCCAATAACGATGAATAAAGATTTACTTTGGTATTATCTTTCGAAAGATTTTCGGTTGTTTCAGAATTAGCATAATTTCTTCCCCTTACTTTCGTATCTTTCTTGGAATAACTGATCTTACTTCGATTACTAATATAAAAAGTACAGTTATTTTACATCACATTATAAATATAGCAAAGTATTAGCGATAATAAATTAGCATGAATATAGACAGATATAAGCTACATAATCTTCATTATTTATAGGTTTACTCTACCGTTAGATATTTGACTATAATCTAATCCGTTTCCTACTTACTTTTCACGTTCATAATATATCACCGCATATACGCTTTCTTTTTCATCTTGTAAACTACCTAATTCAGCTTGGCTACCATCGATGCTTTGAGCAGCTTCTCTTGTACAAATGGTTTCGCTATTTTCTCCATCAGTTCTGCTTTGGTTATTTGGTTCCTTGAGCTCGCACGAAACAGTAGCTTGATTAGGCTGTCTGTATTGAATTATAGTAGTCCTATTAGTAACAAATGACTATTTCAAATCTGATCAGAGCATGACTCTGGTTATGTAATGCGCCTGAATACTTTTCAGTCAAAATATCTCATATGAATTATCAATTTCATAATAGTATAGCTGTGCTTTTACTGACATTTAAAATCCTCTTAAGTGAAACTGCAAACGGCTGTACTCACTCTTCGCAATTATCTTTATTCACATCAGCAAAAATTCGTTTTTCATCTTTTAACTGATCCATTTCAAGATTGCAATGAGAAGTGTTTTCAGACATTGTGTTCAAATTATGAGTATCGTTGCCTTGTCGAATTGTGGTTTCTTCGTCTCGCTGATTGATGTCGCTAGAATTAATTGGAATTTATACATAATAATTAGAAAGCCACAAAAATATCATTTTTAGCAATTCTGCATGATGCAGCATTACTTGCGTCACTGAAATTATTCATTTTAACATCTAAATTTCAACCTGACCTAAAAATTTGAACAAAGACTTAATGGCGATCAAAATTTAATGGGAATCACTTATGCTACCTACATTTGGCATTGAACATAAGTCGTAGCAATTGCATCTTCTTCCTCATTTAGCGAAACTTTGACTTTACCATCATCACCAAAAATGTCCTGAGACATTAATTTTGCGCGCAGCATTTCATTGCTTTCTATGTCACTGCTTTTATCAATCAGTTCTCTCATCTTCTTAGCAATGACTGATGAAAATACTTGACTACATTTAATGGATATGTTTGCATAGTGTTCATTGATCATCTCAAATTGAACATTACAGCCGCATAATTGTTCCAGCAATTGAAGCTCTTCTGGCAAATACAATTGCAAATATTTCGTGTATAATGTTGGAGCATTCGGAATTATATAATCAATGACTTTATAACTATTTAAGTTACATTGAATGATTTTAACCACATTAGAAACATCGCATCGACTTCCAGTGACGATAATTTTACAGAAGTTAAAATTGTCGCTGCATTCACCTTCCAGATGAATATCATTACTTGCAGTTAAAGAATTTCTTAATCCATTCATAAACATATGGAAATCCGGCCGAGAGAATAGGTTATCAATATCGACTCTGGTTACTTGGCTGCAAAACATTTCTCTCATACTAGAGAGAGCTTGCTGATAGGCCTTTGCGTTAAGGGCAACGATGGACACCGACTGATTGCCACCATTAGACATGATACCAGCTTTAACGTCATTAAACCGCAGATATTCGTTAATTAGCATTTGCTTTTCAAGACTTAAAGCTATAAAAGTTGATATTTGATGTTGTAAATCTTTATGGCTATCGCAAATAAAGCATTTAGTATAACTTGATAGCATTTTACTGATGTGCTCTTGATCTTCAGGGGCCATATGCACAATCAATCGAATACTTCTATCATTATTTATATCAGTATACTGGAAACGGGTATCACAGCCATTTTCCTTTAATCTTTCTTCTAACTCAGTCTGCTGAATAAGAAAATGCACAACAGTGGATATTTCAAGTTCTTGTTGAACCATTATGACATTGCCGTGTGACTCCGAATCGACTTGGTCGGAAAAATCTATTCCCATTTGATCACAATCTGCTGATACACCTGTTAATTTATCATTCGCTTTACTACATTCTTGAGCAAGCCGATATTGTACCGCCATGCAAGTTAAATCGCCATAACCTATAATTACCACAGATGATAGGATAAATATCAATTTCGGAAAACGATAGAATGATCTATGACGACATCAATGACTTTAGGCTCGATTTTTCCATATTATTTTGATTAGGTGCAGCTAAGAGATTCTATCCCTCTACATAAACGATTATTACGGTAACTATGAATTAAACTGTCTACGTTATATTTAAATTAGAAATTGCTTGATTTCGAAGAGGATACTCCAAGTTTTAACTCCTAATAATTCAATTCGGTTGACCACTTTGTCAAATACTGATTAATTATTTAGGACTTTCATCATCATCATCCGAAATTGCTGGTGCATGACTCATTTCCTTAATAGGTTATATACAGTACCTTTGGAGCAGTTTCGGTAGTCATTTGGTGTTTTCTCATTATTTTCGTGTACTTTCAGATTTTGGTGGCCATTTTTTCGAACATCTTTTTTATCTTCATGCTTCACTGCTGGCACTTCTTCGGATACTTGAGAAATACCTTTTTTACCTTCAAGGTTCGCTACAGGCATATCTTCGGATACTTGCGAGATAGCTTTTTTGTCTTCATGCTTAACCATTAGCTCATTTTCTGCTACTTGCAATCGACTTGACTTACTTTCACAATCTTCTATTTCCATATTCTCAGAATCACTTAAAAGCGTTGCAGATAGGGGAGAATCTCTACTGAATCGAAATTTTTGAGTCCCTTCGTACCACTGCTTTCTATCTTCCGTGTTAATCTTTTGACGTACTTTATAAACTACTTCATTGATAGTATCAGCAATCATGGGATTATCATGGATTTCCAGTGATATCGGCTTGTCATCAATAATTTCAAAGTTTTCTAGGCACAGCATAGCAATAGCCGCTTCCGATTGCTGACGATACGCAACTAGCCTAAAAGATTGGAAATAATTTTGAGAAAATGTTTTTTACTGGAGCTTGAAAAATTCTAAATTCGAATTCGCCAGCTTAAATTGATATCCTTCAAGTTATAAAATTCAATAACTAAGATTGACTGAGCGCATTAGATTACTGTAATAATTCTTTATTTCGAGTACTTGTATCGATGCTTCAGAGCTATTACTAATTAATCTATTAAATGCATTAAGATAAAAAGACATTATTTAAACAAGCATCAGATAGACTTCTATAAAGGTTATCAAAGTGATGACGTGCAACCCCAAAGTATCACGTAAGATTGCAAAAATGACTTCATATAATTTAGTAACATGATTATTAACTACTATAAATTCAATCCCTACACTTCTTCATGGTTTAGTCTATACAGCTCTTCTACTTTTCCGACTTGGCCAAACAAATGCAATAGTTCCATCTGGATTTAGTAGTAGTAAAATAAATAGTATCATATTGATGAGAGTATAGTAAGCTTGACCTATATGCTATAGTGTCGTTAAGAATTGAAAATCTTTATTATTCTAGGGTAAAACCTGCTCTATTGCTTTTGGGATGTTATTCACTTTGATAGTTGTTCTTAAATTCTTTAAAGTGTCAGATGGTAAATTTTCTTTAGCGAAAGCTTTTCTGTAAGTGCAGAAATTAAAAGAAATCCTTTGGCAACATTGTCATAACGTACTTAAATCTAAAGGCCAATTACATCAATTTACTTTATCAATCTTAATGATCATCAGCCAGAAGGTTAATTAAAAATAGATTGGACATACATGATTTCTGTTTCCATTGCATAAAAGCAGCCTCCTCGAAGCCGATCTAATGCTATCATTTCATCTTTGACTTTTTTTTCCACTTTATTTCGGACTTTTAGAGATAATTCTAGTGGTAAATAAACGACTAAGCCTAATTTGCTATTCCCAACTTTATTTCCCCTCAAGTTTACCATCAACTGAATGACTTGCTTTCGTTTAGCGACTCCAATTTTCCTATTCACAATAGAAAGTTCTGTTAGACGTTAAATGCCATCCATCTCTCTTACCGAACTGCTTTCAACTGTCCTAGAAGAAGCTACTTAGCTAGATCTATAGCTAAATTGGAACTTAATTAACATCGTACAGTGGTGGAGACAAATCACTGTGCTGATATAATCCAGAATCTGTTATTTCTATAAGCTGCTAGAGACTATTAAAATCAGTCTTCTATTCCGAAATTTTCATGAAAAGCAAGGACGTTTTAATGATATGTACTAGATTAGATCAACTTCTTGCCGTATTGCTTCTGTCTCATTTTATTTTCTAATTAGGATTTGATAATAATACAAACACTGTCAATTTCTTTTCAGTTCAGTACTTACGCAAATCGCCAATCATCTTTTCCTGTTCCTATGTATTTGTAAAATTTAATACGAGCTTCACTTATAATTTCATGGACTTGAATTTCAAATTCCTTTAGTATTTTAAGCATTGTTTAAAAATTTCAGGTAAATAAACATTTTGAAGAAGTTCATTACTATAAATGCTAATAATTATAATTGTAAATTTGAACTTTCAATGTTATTGCCACTTGATATTTTTGTTGTTCAATAGCACCGCCTTTGCTATGGCTGCAAATATGATGAAATTGATCATTTGAACGAAAAATTGCAATATTTGAAGAAGAAACTCATTCAGGAGTTAGTCTACTGAGTTATGTTGAAAATGGCAACTATTTTAAGCAAGACGATGAAACATAAGAAAAGAAACTAAGCCAAGACTCATTCTACTTGACTAGTTTGAAAGTAAAACGCTCATCACTACCAGAGCTAAAAATATTAATAATTGTATTTTAGACCATCAATGTCATTACTGCTCTACTTGATATTTGCATGGCAACATCCTTTATAAAATTAATCAATACAGCCAAAGATTGTGATATAAGAAAAAGGAGCTTATTTAGGAGTCAGTCTACTGGGTTGCTAGTTTAATTGCAAGGGAGAAACGATGGAACGGTAATTAGTGTACAATATTAAGATGCCCATTCAGAAGTCTATATATTGAATTATTTTGAAAATAGAAACTATTTTAATCTATTACTAGAGGCAAGAGATTGCAATATAAGAAAAAGCTAATTTAAGACTCATACTGGTGGGTCAGTACTAATCTTGGTAAAGCTAATAGTTGATTTTTAACTAACTAATCAGCGTGATGCTAATCATTATAGCGAAAGATTGTAGTATGGGGAAAAATGCATATTCAGGAATCAGACTATTTGAACATTGGCCGTAACCTATATGCAGTAGTAACAAATAATCTAGCAGTGAATTTTCTTTAATGTCCTGCTCTGTGTATCTAATGTAATTAATCATTTCAAGTGAAAGATTGCAGTACATGAATAGCGACTTGCTCTAGAATTAGTCTACCAAATTATTCAGAAAGGAAAGCAATTGTAAATACAGTACTGGTACGTAACCAACTTGCCAAGGTAAACTTTAATCTAATCTGCCTAAACATGATTACTAAGTCCTAAAAGATGTTGTAATGTCTATTAGACAATCATTACAAATGGAAGCCTCATTCAGCTTTCCTATACGTTACCTGCAGGACATCGTGTTCAATTCCACATACATACAAGCAATGCTCTTTTGATCTATAATATGCATTAGAATAATAGTTTGCTTGAAATTAACTGATTGCATCGCTACGATAGTACAGCAATAATACGTAATGACAATAATATGGGTAACATGAGGAAGGTAGACAGTGTAAGTTATCTTTACGCCATCTGTTCCTGATGGCGAACTAATCTGTAATCGCAGTAGCGTATGTTAACTATTACAATCTCTTTCAATTTTCTATTTGGCAACGGTATCGCATAGCATAGCACATCCAAAATACGCGATTAATTAAGAACTAAATTAAATGAACGAAAGCATTAGTCAAATTAAAAAAAAATCTTAATATGTTGATTAACTAGCCTTTATTACCCTCTAATGTTAAAACTAAATCTCGAATAGCAGTAGTTTAAATATTCGAGGTCTTTTAACTACTGGCCAATTTGATCGAGATATCAAGGTAACTATTGTACTTGATCGAGCAACTCATTTTAAAGTATAAAGACTAGGAAGAAGCGGTAAAATAGGTAATAAAATGCAGCAATGTTATATTGCCACCAGGTTTAAGCAACATGTAACAAAGAAGCTGTCGACATGGTAGAAAGTCTAAACGGTAAACGGTCACGATAGAAAGCCATCGCGTTAAAAAATTATTTTGTCTGCGTAATTCTAATGAATCAAATTACAATGACAAGAATTGCAATGATCAATTAATTATAGCGATGCCGTTTATGCAGCGGTGCAACAGACTCAATGATTTTGTTGAACAAACCTTGCTGAAGCCATTTGTAATAGTTAAAGGTGTAGTTGCAAGTTGATCGAAATTATTAAAGGATCGAATCGTCTACAAAATTAATGATTATAAAATACAAGCAAGCTAAAAAATCAAACGGTGATCAATTAGCGTAGGCTAGGCTACCTAATTGTTAAAACTAGCTGAATAATTCGCGTTTATTCTTAATCAAATAATCCCTAAATCAGGCAACCCCTACTGAGCAAAGTACCCTTTTCGTAGCCTACCAAGGTGTTGATTTTCTGACCTTTCACTGATCGAAAGTAAAGTTAGGCCTGTTTAACTTTCTAAGCAAGTTATAACAAACAAGGCTATTCTCTGTATAGAAGACAATCAATTTGCAATGCCTCTTAAACTTGTTACTATGCTCTACTTCAAAATACCTTATCGCATGGATTTTGATATGTAATAGCTTCTATTTAAACGAACCCTGGCGTTCTGTATAAGAATGCTAGAATATAATCTCTCCCTTTTATTTTGAGATTAGTTGCACGTTTACAAATGTCAAGAAAGAATCTAAATGTTCCTCTTTTTTTTGTAGAGAATATTTTTCGTTGCTAATAACATATCGCACTCTGCACCGATTGCAAAAAGTAAAATTGCAATCATGAAGCAATAAAATACACATTCCATCAAGGTATTTGTTAGATACGCTGGGGTGATTTGGAAGGCGTGGTAATGAAGTGTTGGGGAACTTGCCTTGTTTACCGCATCAATTAGATTTGCTTACAATGCCTGCTAGCCAATAAGTTGCAGTGTCAGCATTTTTGAAGAATTATTCTAATAATGAACTCGAGTGATAGGATATTGTTTCGGTATAGATCGAGATTATTTTTTAACTTATGGATTGTATTAAAAAGGTGTTACCAACTCAAGAATGAGTAATGCAAGAAGATACCACAAGGCTCTGTAATAACATCGGAAAGAATTGTAAGCTTTAACAAGCTTTGATGCCTCGCTATATAAGCAAGTGAATATATAGTTGTAAGAAAATCACTCCAATGCTCAAATGTGTTATGTTTGAATGTCAAGATGGAGAAAGAAGACAGAGTCAGTTTCGACGATGATGTACATCTAATATAGGGAATATAAGCAGTCAAGAATGTCATTTGTCCAAACAGCAATACGATCACATCAAGCAGAGATCACAATTTTTTTCATATACCCATTCCATAATTAAGAGAAGGGTTACTTTCAAATCGTCCCCAATCGTTATCTATCGTATGAATTAGAACAAGCACAACAGAAATCGACTAATGAAGAGTACTAATGTAAATTTTAACCTTTAAATAGAATTCGTATAGACAACAATCTAGTAAAATCGACAGGAATCTTCCACATTCATGAAATATCTTCAATGTAAGAAATAATGAATTAAATACATTCTTTCCATTTGAAATGATGAAATGAACTTGACACCAGCAAATATCACCGTTATTTTATGACACATTGATCAGAGTAGGGTATATTTCCGATTTTTCAAAAGAATACTGGTGCAAAGTAGTTCTAAAATATCTCCTAAACCGAATTTATTATCTACTAGACTTCTTCGAATAGACAAAATCAAATAGATTTAGCCGCTGCACTTTTTATTTCCTATATTTCGGATAGTTATACATTTATGAATACCTGAACTCTGGGCTTTCAAAATTTTGACCACAGTGCAATTTTAACTAAATGACGACATTATAGTGATTTTGTAAAATGACGGATTTTAAAAAAAAATGCTGTAACACAACTACCACGCTTAGGCGGCTGTAATGATCTATGCATTCGTATATTAGTAATTTGAACTAACTTGTCTATTACGTCTTATTTAGTTTTATTCCGCTTAGATTAGAAAGTTCTCCTGGTTGATATACCAAATGAAATAGTTTTACCAGTAACAAAAAGTTTGAAGTAGTAACAAATTATACATACGCTCGTATATTCTAAAGTATATAACTTCTCACTTGATGTAGATCAGTTGGAAGATCCATTATTTTGATCGAAGCCGGACCATAATCGAATTTATAGTCCTTTAGTAAATTGATGGCTTCTACTTTCCTAACGAAAAGTAAGGTTGATAGCGTTAATTTACCGAACAGCCTCAAATATTATTAATAATGAAAGATTTCAAAGAAGCAATTTTCATAAGTCTTTTTCCAAAAATATCGTATTAGTTTTCTTTACTTTGTTTTAAAATGCAATTAGCGACAGATGAAATTTACTTTTTTCAATCATCTTATCATAGTAGCATCCATGCTTTACATTATTTACCTTTTTCATACAATTCTTTACCATCCCGTTAAGCCTCCTTCTTTCATCCAAAGACAATCCCAGGAGCCTAAATATTCGTAAACGAAGAAAAGTATTACTTAGCTGCACTCTTCTCAGGCTGACCATTAATTTTAATTACATATTCTTCAGAGTTATCTTCTATATGCCTGTATTTTGAAAATAGCATCAAATCATCAAAGTTACATCAACGTATTTCTAAGCATCAAATCTAGAATTTTATGTAGCTTATGGCGTATTATAAATGAATGTCAATCTATAATTATATATAATCAAAATCTCATGTGATGCGAGTTAATTTATTAAAACAGAATTTATGGTAATAAGTACTAGGTGTTAATTAATCCTTGCCACTGAAAAGCAATTATTTAAATATGGTTAATAATTTCAATGATAATGCATTTATTAAATATCTCCATGAAAATATCTTAATGTAAGATAAGTAGTTATACTGTATTACATATGTTAGTACAGTAGATTGCTTTTACATATTTAGAATTTTTATTATGTGTTAAGCATCTATTAGACCATATACTGTACAGTATGTTGAGTTGCACATTGCCTGATTCTCCTAGATTTCCCATGGGTTCATGACATACTGTTGCACAATTGCAAGCATTTTATATTCGCCTAAAATGCAATTTCACTCTTGTAATTTATAAACTTTACATTATCTACAGATTGTACGAGGTTTAATACTTGACTCAAGCAGTATTACAAACCACATACACAACAATGGTAAGCTTGTTCCTAAGCTCAAATGATACATCTAAGCTTAGGAACTAGTGCACTATACTTTCGAGCTTTGTAGCTAAGCGTAAAGGGTCAATCAAATAAGCAACATTCACTTGGTCTAGTTAGCTGTATATGCCCAATATTACTTAATTTCATCTCGCTCCTAGCCGCAAAATAGAGTTGTCCTCTGACGAATTTTTAGATCGTTCCTGCTAGTACATGCTTGGATGTCTGCAGTCTATATCAGTAAAGTCTAATGCTAGTTCTAGTCTGATGTCGAGTTTTGTGCATTATCCAAGTACATTGGTTTTAAAAATGAAATCAACTTTATGGCCAACTCTAGTTACCCTCGTACTTATACAAACTTCCAGCATGTTCTCTTACTGCCTATGTAACGATCTCAAGCTTTATTTCGAACATAATATCTGGCAATTCCAAAGTCTTTGCAGGCTTTCTTAACTTGTCGTTCAAATTTCTAAAATTTTATATCGTAAGAAACAGACCTTATTCAAACCAATTAAAGGTAGCTATTTCTCAGTCATATAAAGTTTAGTATCAAGAAATAAAAAACTGCCTAGAAAAAAAGTTAGATAACCTCATCTATAGCAATTGCATAATTGGAAAGCATACTAGCAGTGTTTATAGATGGTAAAGATTGTAAAACAGATAAATATTTAATATGCAAGACTATTATTATCGGAATTGTGCTACAAGAAGTTGAGCTTGCATTTTGTATAAACTCTTAATTTTGCAATATATATATGGTGTCGAATATCAAATATATTTTAATAGCTTACCTTATTATCAAGAAATTTAAAATATCATCTTACCAACGAAATTATCTAGCTATATATTCTATTTAGTTAATTGAAAATTACCTCAGTTATCTGATTATCTATTCCAAAGGCGTAAATTGTAAATTGCTGTCGATCAATACTGCAAAAATAAAAAATAATAATCGATTTAATATCTCAATCCGATTGGTTATAAATCAAGGTCAGCAATATTATTTTATTATCATTACATAAACTGATTGCTGACTGTTCTATATTTCTTGATTTATTTGGCAATATCACTAATTATTAATTTCTCAGTAAGCAAGTAAAGCCAGCATTTTATAAAGTCATTTTTACCTCCGTGTCGGAGTTTATGAGTTCTTTAAAATCAGTAACTTCTAAACTGAACAGTTACTAAAGTTTCTAAAGTTAGCAAATATCTAAATTAATCTCTATTTACGGAGAACTTGAGAGGTAGTGACACTGACATTACAAAAATAGAATCCGGTTGCAAGATTAGAGCTGTGCCGAATTATGAAGTCTGTCGTTGTAAAATAGTAGATAAAATATTTAATAGCATTCTCTTAATTAAACCCTAATCTACAACAATTTTTAGAAGGTCAACATTGGCGCTTTCATGTATATTACATCACGTTATGCGTATTAAAATTAAGTGGTACCGATAATAGACTAAAAGGTGGAAGAGCAAAGCAAACATATGTGTTATCAGCTAATTTTTAATATCGGCGTTTACCGTAACTTCTAGACTGTTCATAATTCTATTTAAACTAGAGCAACTTAATGAAGAAGCATAAGTATATCTATAGCTGTATATTGATATATTTATTCATTTTCAACTTGATAGGTAAAAATTGCGCTTATTTAGATTTCTATGAGTAATTCCAAGACTGTTAGTTGACTTTCTTCTTAAGAAATTTTGGTAGTACAATTCTATTACTTTTCTTTCACTGCTAATTATTAACGGATCGTCGATGTCGCCTTCTGATACAATTTTAACTTTTCTATCCAAGTAATTTCGGCATTGGCGACAATGATATTGCAATAAAATTTATCAAAGACTTATAAATTCTCAATACATTTTACTCAATTCTAAATTCAGGTTAACACCATTGCTAGGACTAATTTCCTATCTTCAATTTATAAGTATACCGGAACCAGTTTTTTTCATAAACTAAGGAGAAATC